GGCCGGAGCCCTCCCACTGTGCTGTGGTGCCAACCCCTCATTTGTCTTATTTTTATTTTGTTGTTTTTGCTTTTAGTGTTATATCGAAAACATCATTGCCAAATCCAATGTTCTGAAGTTTTCCTCCTACGTTTTTTCCCAGGAATTTTGTAGTTTTGGGTCTTATGTTTTGGTCTTTAATCCATTTGAGGTAATTTTTGTAGATGGTACAAGGTAAGGGTCTGACTTTATTCTTTTGCATGTGGATATTGAGTTTACCAACAGCACCTTTGACACCTCATTCTTTGGCATTCCTATTTTGTTGATTTACATACTATTCAACAAATTTATATAATCATAGTATCCAATGCTACTGGCACAAACAGGACAATGCACAGACACCTCTGAGCAGTGCTGAGCCACCCGAGTGTATCCCAGTAGTTCAGAAGCCCCAAGTGGTGACTGTCTGTATTAATAACTAATCATATCACCTCATTTTCTTTTTGATGCTTTAACATCTGGGGTCTTGTAATCCCGGGGAGACTGCCCCTCCCAGGGATCCTAGATTAGAATCCAAGAGCTAGCATAGGACTTATCTGAGAGCATGCCTTTCCAACCCAGAGCCCACACTCCACTCTCCTGCCCTAATCACCCCAGGGTCAGTAGCAGACAGTGAGGGATAGCCCCTCTGCTCCAGAGCCTGCCAAAATTCTTCAGCAATCTTAAACCTGCTTACCCTGCCTCACTCATTCCTTCCTGGGAAAACCCCAGTACAGGCTCTTCCCCATTATTTCCTCCTCCTCTCTCGTGACCGACCCCAGAACTTCCCCATGTGGCCTCCTGTGATGTGGCCTCATGGCGTGACCTCCCATGGTGTGGCGTGGCCCCTCTTCTTGGGACTCATGAGCATAGCAAACTATCTTTTACACTGGCAATTCCCTCCTGATCTGCTTGCCCTCACCTACCTAAATAATACAACAATAGAAAATTTTAAAAGTATGTCGCACATGCCGGTTTGTGGGTTACAGGAAATAAGTGGCCATTACTTGAATGATGCAGTTATGTGGGGAACAGGTGAGAGAGCTTCTGGGGCAGCTCCCTTGGGGGGCCTTGAAGACTGCAGTCACATCCAGCAGGGGTTTGTCCTGGCACAGGGCACCTGTAGGAATCCGAGTGTGAGCTATTGTTACACTTTGGAACTGGGGCCCCAGCAGTGAATGGTTCTTCTCAAGTTATTTCCAGACTACCAGACCATCTGTCAGGGTATCTCCATTCAGCCTGGAGGGGAGGAAGAAGCCCCTGGGGCCTGAAAGAGAAGCCTTAGCTGGACAGGTCAGGTGGAAAGAGGACTGGATAGAAAGGTTTCTAGGCAAGTACACAGCATGTGCCCAGGCCTACAGGCACCTGAGTGGCAGCCTGCCTGTGCTTAGTACAGTGCCGGGGCACATGGTTTTTGTTTCGTTTTTAATTTAGTTTAACTTAGTGTCATTAATTTAAATTTACATTTAAAACTTTAAATTTAGGCAGGCCCAGGTTTAGAAGTAGGGGACTGCTGAAGCCCAGCTCTGACCGCACCGGCATCTTAACCTAAATGGGATCCTCCCAGTTCACCAAGAAGTACGAATGGTGGGCCGTTTCCTACAGCAGATCATTCCCTGTGCAATGATAAAGTGAAAGTACCTTCTTTAGGCCTGGAATAGGGCCAGTCACTGGGCATTGTCAGTGACTCGGACACAGACCCAGCGTTTGAATAACTCACCAAGTGAGTCAGTACCTGAACAGGACACAAAAGACACGGAGGACACGAATGAGGCTGATAGAGTCAATAGGGGAGACCGGCCAAGGCCAGGAACTGCTCTGGGGCCAGCAAGGGAGCCCAGGCCTGTTGGAGACTTGCGGCCCATGTAAGAGGACTGTGTTCCTATTACAGGGGCTGGTATGTTCCAGGCAGGTGTGGCTCGATTGCACAATGAGTCAGAAAAATGGCTCAGTTTGTCAGTATACAGTCACAGACTTGGTATTTGTTTCCTCATCTGCAGAGAGGAACAATATATAACTTCTCTCCTGGAGGGGTTCAGCAAGGTCATGAGAACTTCCCTAAAGACCAACAGACCTGTGAGCTGTGAGTAACAAGATCCTAGCTCTCACCTTTATACTTGGTGGGAAGGTTAACATTGGTCCCATTAAGTCCATTTCTTCTTTTATCATTAGTGAAAATTACTATGCTTTTATGGGATTCAAAGAGATCAGAAGATGCTAAAGTTGCAACTGGAATTTAGGCACAATCCCTCATGCTGAAGAGATGAAAAGACAACAGAGGCCAAGATCAAGTTCTTCACACAACTTCCATTTAAATTAAACTTCCTTTAATGAAATAAAAAACAAATGGTGCATTGCATAATATTTGTGGTCACAGTATAAAAACAATACAATTTAGTTCATATAACATCGGATATGGACAAAAATACACAAGACCCTTTATTTATCTACGGAAAATTTTGCAGATCCTTATGTGCCACGCTACAAAAAGAAAGTCAACGTTTTTCCTCTAGTGATCTGCACACATATTTATCACTGAGAATTTGGTCAAACAGCGGAGGAGAACTTACCCCAATCCCAGTTCCCTTCTTCCTCTGTTGTCATCAGTGAAGCTAAAAAAAGAAAAAGTTTTTTGAAAGTAGCAAGTTGTAGAGTATTGCTTATTATTCCCGCCGAAAAGGCTCAGTCTTTGGCTCACTGATGTCAGTGACAAAATCATGGCTGTAGGCCATCTGCAAAGCAAGAAGCAAGAGCCACCAGGAAAACAGACAAAAGTCTGGGCAAGAGGGGCCTCCTTTACCAGGAGCCCCGGGGAATTAGGGGCGGGGGCTACACAAATAAATACATTTCTAAATTAAGATTTAACCCAGTCGGTGAGTTAGAGTTCTACTGTCACATGAAAAATCTGAAAAGTTGTTAGAAAGTCAGTTTCCATTTTTCTTTTAAAGTGAAATGTGTATGTAAACATCATAAAGTAAATGATTCAGAATAATTTCGAGGCTTCTGTCTGAACATAGCTTAGGCTCTTTCTGGGGCTACTTTTAGGATCAGAAAAAAAACAAACCCCGAACTATTATAAAGTTTCTTTTTGTTAGGAAGTGCAATTCCATCCATGGGTCCTTCTTTCATTCACACCAGGGCTGCTGGTGGGAATCTCTTCCAGAAGAGCACTTTGTGGGGAGCCCTATTTGGTATAACGAAAGAGTGCATCTCACACTTTAAAAATACACATTCCAGGCAAATTCATGTCCCTGGAAGGACCTAGGTCCTTGGTACAATGCCCTGGAGTTTCTCCTCCTTCCTCTGGCCGGCTCACCAGTGGAGGTCAATGCCCGAACACTCCAGGCCTGAACTGCAGCAGCAGTTTGCAGGAGAGGTACGGGTGAGCACATGTGACCTGACACCGCTGAGTGTCGGCTGTGACCCAGCCCCTGCTGTTATGTACAACTGGGGCCACCTGGTCACACCCAGGTTCCTCTTCCTAAAAAGGGCCTATGCCACAACAGCCCCGAATCTTCTTTCAATAACTGTGAGGGCTCAGGGGGCCCTGACTGTTACTAATACAGCACCTGTTATAGTTGTTCTGTCTTTAAGTCCCATTTGCACAATCACCTGTGACCCACCTCCTCTGAAATAGCAGTTATGAAATGACATGTAGAAAATACTCAATCTAGTGCTGTCAAGGCCTCATCGTCTGCTGGTCACTCAGGCTCTGGCAGGGCACGCCTGCTGCCAATCTCCCCGCCCTGGCTCTGGGCCTGGCCACCAGTTGTGCTGCTCCCAATGGGGCAGAATCTACAGTTCCTGTCACATGAATGGTCCCCTGGGTAGGAAAAGCTTGGAATCTGCCTCCAGAGGTCACTCAGTGATAAGGGCAGAGCCATTGTGAGCAGCAGCGAGAGGGGAGTTGGTAGCTGGGCTGGGAGGAACGGTGGGCTGGGAGGAGCACGGCTCGCCCTGCCCAAGGTGACAAAGAGCTGCACGTGAATGGCCATCATTTTATATTACTTTATTGCTCAAAACAAATGCATCTTTTTTCCCCTTTGGAGGACAGAGCAGCGTTAGATCCTTCAGAGCCAGGATAAAAACACAGAAGATTGCAATTAGGGCACAAGTCACCAGTGAGCCTCAGAAACCCCCCTGGGATGCTTCAGAAAGGCCAGTGCCATGCAGGGGGTGAGAGGCTCTGAAGGGAGCACTTTAATACAGCAGCAGAAGCCACGGACACGGTGGATCCCTTTCTGCCCACCGTCCTATTCCTGACACGAGCAGTCTCGCAAAGCAGACCGCTCTCAGCTCTGCTCTACAGGCTGTTCACGTGACAGTAAATTGCTGGGTTTCCTTCATGTCCTAATAGAAAGGCAAACATACCGCAGAGGATACTCTCTCATGCACCCCCTGCAGTGGATCTTAAAAAGGCCTGAAGGACTGAAAAGGTCATGGAAAATACATGGTTCTTCTAAGCAATTTGATTCCTTGAAGTCAGTCTTGCAAGTAGCCACCTGCCTTCACAGTAAGGAGCCCAAGCAGCATGTGAAGGACGTGGCATCTGTGTGGCCACCAGCAACCCCCTTAGTGGCCAATGCCTCTGTCTCCTGCCAAGGACAGGAAAGGGGAATGGTGGTGGCCTCTGCTCCCTAACTCGCAGATGACACAATGGACCCTCCTGGCTGAAGCTGCACAAACCTAACTCCCAGAGTCCCTCCTCTGCTGTCCCTGGGGTCCCTGAGGCATAGTGGCCTCAGAACTACTGGAGTGAGTGTCTGTTCCTTTCCTCGCCCCCAACCTCTTCCTTGCAGACCTTCTCGCTGCCCTAGACAGAGGTGGTTGTTTTATTTTGCTTTATCTTCATTCTTAAGGCTAAGGTGGCAAGATAAGGTGCTCGGTGGAGAGCCAAATTCTAGATTCCAGGGCTGCCACTTCAGCACTGTCACATAAAACAAATACAAAAGAAATGGGGGAAAGGCAGAGGAACCAAAAAAAAAAAAAATAAAATAAAATAAAGGAAAAGAAAAGAAAAAAAGCATTGGGCTCAATAGAAGTTATATGCTCCAAGTTTAGATTTCAAATGTAGTCTAAACCCCTGAAAATAGGGGTGGGGCAGAAAAGTAAAAGCCACAAATCAGCCTTGGCATAGGCCTGTGTTGTCTCCCGGCTGGGGTGGAGGGTCGCTGTTAGCAGCAGTCTCTCACACACGCCTCTGTCCTGGAAGCCGGCTCTCACCCGGGCAGGCACATCCTCGCCCAAGATACAGAACCCCGAACGCCGTCACCCCCTTCCTCACCACAACTCCTCGAAACAAAGCTATAAACACACACAAGTCAGAGGATCTATAAACTGGCAGGAGAAAAAAATTAGACAAAGGTTAACCATTAAAAAGCTGCAGTTGGGAAAACACACACTCGATTGTTACATCAGAAAGTGCCGTGGGAAGAAGAGCTGTGTGCTGGTAAACGTGTCCGCGCTCAGAACTTGACATGCAGAAAAGGGAGCGCGCCAAGTCCCACCTGAGATTAGAGAGGACTGGTTTTTAGTGTAACACACTTTGCTTTAGAATATCACTGTCCTCTTCTCGCCCCAATTGTTCCTGGAGCGTTCCTCGGTCACTCCGTCACTCCCTTCCTGGGCCAGCCTAGTCCATCTCCATCGACATGAGCCGGCGGCGCTCACGCCTGGTCTCCTGAACCTCCTTCTTACAGCACCAGTGGGAGCTGCAGTACCCAATGAGGCAGGACAGCAGCCCGATGACAGTGGACAGACCAACGCCGATCAACAGGGGGTACTTGAAGGCGTCCAGCACTGGGAGGGAGAGATCAAGAGGGAAGTGGTTAGTGCTTCACAGAGGGCCGCCTTGGGGACACCACTGCCGCCCTCCCTCTACCCACAGCAGGATGTCACTGAGCGGTCAGCCCGCTCTCATCCTGTACCGAGTACCAAGCACAGTACTGGAGACAGGAGCAGTTCAGACCTATCTGTCAAAAAAATAAAAAGAGCAAACGCCTCTCCACCCAGTTCTGTAGAGGGAATAAAAACCATAAAAAAGATTTCACTCGATGCCTTTGAATGTCAACTTGCTTTTTAGGGTTTTGGCAGGAGATTGATTTTTAAAAGTCAGTATAAGGGCACTGCACATTCAGCAGCAGATGCGTCCTTAAAAAAACTGTGCATAAATCAATTCTACGCATCAAATAACTGAAGTGTACTAAGGGAGCTATTTTAAGTAACACTATAGTAAATTATCTAGCAAAGTGAATAATCACCCCCTTACTTGTTTGGTAAATCTGGGTTTTCACATGGAGTTACTTTAAGTAAGGAATTTCCCAAACACAAATAGGTTATAGATGATTTAAGTTTCAGAAATGCACAAACACCATCAGATTCCACCCTGGAGATTCCACCCTGGAAATCCCACCTTCCCTTCCTCAACGTATCAATGCTCCTTGGGTGACACTGCCACAGTGCTGGGTGCATTACATTTGACATGGTTTAATTTTCAAAACAGCCTCCTCATGAGATGGGAAATGGAGCAGAAAGGCTGAGTGACCTGAGGGAGTTGGGGCTCCAATTTCCATCTCCCCCAAACTGGTGTACCATTAGGGAAACACATTCAAAAGGCTTCTACAGACCTGAGAGGCTCTGGACTGGAGTTCTCTCCGTGGAGGTTTTTAAATTAACATTTACTTTCCAAAGGAGGCACGTATCTTGTGAACATGTTTCTTTGTTCTCTGAGCACTCTGGGGTGCTTGGGGAACACAGCTCTGACTGTCTAGCTAGGTTGACCCTGGTAGTCAGCACGGGCCAATGAGGCCCAGAGCTCCCACCTCGGGGCTCCACGAAGTACCCACTCTGTGGCAGAGACTCCAGGCGGTGCTCCCCTTCTCTAAGAAGCAAAGCCAACAGGAGGGTAAAAGTGGTGTACGCAAGCCACAGCCACACCTGCTGACCTGAGCCCTTCCTCTCAAGGCTGTCCTCTGCCTCTGCCTGCCAGAGTCCATATCAACCCCAACCCTAGAACAGAGTAAAGTGGGTTTCTATAAAATTAATCAAATAGGCAAAGGCTTCAAAATTTTTCTAGTAGGCCAGCAACAGTGGCTCATATCTGTAATCTTAGAACTTTGGGAGGCCGAGGTGAGTAAACTCTCTGAGCTCAGGAGTTCCAGACCAGCCTACGCAAGAGTGAGACCCTATCTCTAAAAAATAGCCAGGCATTGTGGCAGGCACCTGGAGACCCAGCTACTTGGGAGGCTGAGGCAAGAGGATTGCTTGAGCCCAGGAGTTTGAGGTTGCTGTGAGTTATGACGCCACGACACACTACAAAGGGCAACAAAGTGAGACTTTGTCTCAAAAAAAAATTTATTTTTCTAGTAAATCTTTTGCTTTTTGAGACAGTCTCTCTCTGTTGCCTAAGGCTAGAGTGCCATGGCATCATAGCTCCTTGAACCTCAAACTCCTGGGCTCAAGTGATCTGTCTTGCCTCAACCTGTCAGAATGTGAGGATTACAGGCATGAGCCACTGCAGCCAGCTAATTTTTCTAGTAAGTCTTGAAAATCATTTCCTGATGGTGTCACCAGCATGTGACAGCGAGTCTGGGAAAACAGCAAGGGCTGCCTGTGCTCTCTGTGGGTGCGGGCCCAGGACAGATCTAGAAAGAAGGCAGCACGTGCTGTGGCAAAATGCGGACACCTGGATCCTGTCAGCTGCAGCCTGGACAGAGAGAGATTTGTGTGGCATTCTTACCATCCATCTTCACAGTTATAAAGATGGGCTTGGAGTGGATCTCTGCCTCCTTCTGCCAGGAACCTGTTGGTGACTTCACCCAGGGAGTCACAGAACAGTAGTAGTTGCCAAAGTCCTGGTCCTCTGAGCCGTGCACTTGCAGCAGAAACTCCAGCACACTCACACGCTCCAGGCTGAGGTCACTCTTCCAGTCCCTCTGGGCTGTGGTCACAATCCCCTTCCGATCCAGCGAAGACAGGAGGACAGGAGCCTTGTCCAGGCCGAAGGAATGCACAGCAAACCAGGACACATCAAAGGCCATGTCGTCTATGGATTACCAAGCCAAAACCCTGGGATCAGTGCAATGGGCAGAAGTAATACATAGGGCAACCGAGTGTGCAACCCTGACTAGGACAGTCTGCGGGCCTTGGGTGTCACTGCCTCCCCACAGCAGCTCTATGATGAAGGCACTGTCATACTGCCCCCTTATTCAAGGTCATGCCCCAGCAGGTAGTCCAGCTCCAGAGTCCAGCCTCTTAACCCCTCTATTGTCACCACTCAGCCTAAGGAGTCACAGGAAGAAAAGTCAGGGCCCCAAACTGCCTCCCACGGAGAACACGTACAGAAAGCTGGCACAAGGTCACGTCACTTGCTCTCTCCCCAGAGAGAACAGGTCCTTTGACATCTCAGGCAGAAAACCCAACACAGAAGGACACTAAAGTTGTACTGAAAAAAGGTCCATAAAACGGACTGTACAACATTTAGAGCTGTAAACAGTTTAGATTTTATTGCTCACTGTGGTTTTTTTTTTCTTGCACAAGTGCCCAAGTTCAAAACAAAAGGAAAAAAAATGTCAAGCTGAGAAAATTGAACACAGTTTAACAGTCCCAGAGAGTAATGCTGCTGAATCGTAAAGTACTCTGTGAAATTAAGGTTCTAACAGCCTCAAATAAATTAATGTGGGCATAAGAGAAAGAAGCCTTTGGCACAAGTGGCAATTCTCATGGAATGTAAAGAGAGAACAGACACCAGAAGCCCTTGACCTCTTCTCTCGACCGCTACCCACCAATGCCAGCTGTGCCGACTCTGAGGTCCCCCCCACATGCAACAAAGGCCTGTAGCCACGCATTTATCTGCAATCTACTTGAGAAGGTTTGTTATACTAATATTAAATACCATAATTTTTGTTGAACAAAAGGTAACATTTATTCATTTAGTAAAAATACAATAATCACCTCAAAGAGCAAATTATAAAGCAAATACATTACTTTTAGATGCTTACATATTAAGAAAGAATATAAGCAAGGCCAAAAGCAAGAATTTCTATAAAATTATCCAAAGGAGAGCTCCTTTTCAGCTCACCCTAACAATGTAGTATCTTTTATTTCTCTCCCTTACTCGCCCACCATGGCACTTGAGCATAAAATGTTCTTGTCCCCAGCATCTCTCCAAGAAGACCAGCTCCTTGGGGGAACGGGGAGTGCTGTAAACTTCCTCACACCCTCACGGTGCCAGGGCAGAGCAGGCACCAGGGTCACTCTCACATACTCAGGAAAACACTTAATTCAGAATGCCATCACCCCAGGTGCCAGGTGGCTACTGTGGCAAAGAGCCACAACTGTCTTCCTGCTACCTGCCACCTTACTATGAGGGAGCCAGGCTCCAGGGCCAGAATGCCAGGGCTAGAATCCCAGCACTGTCACTTATCAACTGTGTGACCTGTGGCAGCCACTTAAGCTCATTGAGACTTAGTTTCCTCATCAGTAAATAAAAATAACACGGTGGGCTCATGCCTATTATCCTACCTAATTCTCTGGGAGACCAAGATGGGTGGATTCCTTGAGCTCAGTAGTTTAAGACCAGCCTGAGCAAGACCAAAACCCTGTCTCCACAAAAAAACTAGCCAGGAGCGACAGAGGGCGCCTGTAATCCCAGCTATTCCAGAGGCTGAGGCAAGAGAATCACTTAAGCCTCAGAGGTTGAGGTTGCTGTGAGCTGTGATGCCACATCACTTTACTGAGGGCAACATAGACTCTGTCTCAAAAAAAAAAACCTTTAAAAAATAAAATAAAAATTACAGCACACATGGTTAAATTAATTACACTTCTAAAAATGCTTGCAATAGAACCTAGAACACAGTTAAGTGTTCAAAAAAAGTTGGTCACCACGAATAACATCAGCAGCACAGTTTAACCTACAGGGTCCTGCAAACAAATGCCGTGGACGGGAAGGGCTCTGCCACCTACAGCTCGTATTATCGATGCCCTGTGCAGACTGGCTGGCGCCTTGAGCCCTCCACACTACCTACCTGTGCCCTTCTCCACAGGCGGGGCCTCCACTGAAGGAAGCCACCTCCTGAAGGCTGGGAAATACCTCACTCCCTGGCCATGGGGACAGTGACTCAGGACCCCCTTACCTCAAGCTGGGCAGCACACTGTGGCTCAGTTCATACTCCATGAGGAGTTAGACTTGCTCTCGAGTCACACCTCTGCCTCTCCCTTCCCCAGCCCTGCCTCGCAGTGTTCTGGGAGTGCTCCTTCAACCCACCACGTGCACACTCGTCCCAGTCTCTGCTCAGACAGCAGGCTGCTGCCCTCAGCCCACTCACACAGCACGTCCCTCACCAGAGAGAATCCCCTCACAGCCCATAGGATGTGTGGGGACCACCGAATTGCAACTTGTGTTCAATTTTTCAGAATCTCCTACCCATACAGTCCAAAAATACAAAGTTCTGGAGAACTGTGATCTGAAAGGTACCAGTCACGTATAGCTTTTGCAACTATGCTTGGTGAAAGACTTACTAAGGACACAAAAGCAACAGTGAGACCCCGTCTCTACTAAAAACAGAAAAGCTAGCCAGGCATTGGGGAGCACACTTGTTGTCCCCGCTACTCAGGAGGCTGGGGCAAGAGGGTCACTTGAGCCCAAGAGTATGAGATTACTGTGAGCTATGACGCCACTGCACTCTATCTAGGGTGACAAAGTGAGACTCTGTCTCAAAAAAGGAGGGGGCAACTGGTGTTACATTTACTTACCAAGAAATAGCATTTAAAGGATTTACCTTTGTATAGCTCATAAATGAGTTTTAAGGACAAAAATAATATTACAATGTAGAAAAAGCATCCCCTCCCCTTTTCCTGGTGGTCTCTTCCACTTTCACCTTCATTTCCACCTCTGAGTCCCACTCCGTGTCCTCGGTTGTCCGCGCCTCAGGTACAGCAATGGCCCCTCGTTCCTTCACCCCCATGAACAGAGCAAACCACCTCTGCTGGTTTGTGTTGGTTTCTTTCTTTTCCTTTTTTGGTAACTTCCACAAATTCCTCTCCTTTTTTCTATTTCTAAAGATCAGCCATGGTCAGCTTCTCTAAGAGAGCCAATTTGGTATCAATCAACTAGCCCAGGGCTCAGTAAACCACAGACTGCAGGCTGAGTCCAGCCCACCACCTGTTTCCATAGATAAAATTTCTCTGAATACAACTATGTCCATTTGATTAAAGTATTATCTACAGCCACTTTTCTGCTACCATGGCAGTGTTGGGTAGTAGCCAGAGACCATTTGGCCCACAGAACCAAATATGTTTCCTACCTGTATAGAAAATATTTGCTGACCTAAACCTTTAACTAGAAGTCCTGCAGGGGCCAGACCTAGACGGGGGCCCCTAGGCCTCTCCCCAGGCCCTGCTTAGGCTCTGTCTCTGGATTCACTACAGACCACCCTGCCTTTGCTTAGATTTGCCTCAGTATACTGAATGAACACCCGCTTTTGCTTTCTTCTCTAGGACCACCCTCCCAGGGGCCTTTGAGCCCTGTACATTCTGGCTTAAGGAAGTGCAGAGGTGGGGACAGACTGCTGAACAACAGACACTCTAAGTGCCTTCAGTGTTTTTATAAGCCCTAAGAGTCGACAAATGAGAGGGGGACATCAACCGGTCACTGAATGGGACCAAGCAGAAAAGGAGTAAGACTGATAGGTCCCATAAGTCTGAGGCATCCTATTGGCAATGCTAATATTTTCTGCAAAGAAAAGATTTACAAGATTTCCTAAGAACTCTAACTACAATACTGCTGCCCTGGCCATCTGCTACTCCCTTTCTCCATATTTCTTCACAGCATCAATTGCTACCTGCTATTACACGAGGTCTGACAACAGAGTTCATGAACTTGCCACTGTGTTCTTACATTGGCGGCACTATACAAACAACTCGGTGGGACTTTATGACCTTAGTATACCAGTGTTTTACAGCTGTGCTCATGTTGATGTGTGGTGGTATGTTGCTGAGCAGCGTTCATTATTGTTGTTACATGTTTTCATGTGCCTCAGAGTGTCAGAGCTTGAATTAGAGCAATGAACAAACGTTTGTAAATTTCTTGTTAGACTCAGCAAGAGTGAAAGTGAAATCAGGGACATGTTAGTCCAAGCTTATGGAGATAGTGCCAAGAAGAAAATGGAAGCGTACAAGTGGATTAAAACATTTGTCTGAGGGAAAGAAAGGGTTACTGATGAAAGTCAGGGCAATAAGTAATAAGCAGAATTGATATAAAGACTGCAAAAATTCATCCAGTTGTGCATCAAAATTGTCAGCTGACTATGAAAAGTATAGCAGACCAAGTAAACATTGATAGAGAAACAGTTAGAAAAATCTTAACTGAAAATCTTCACCAACAACTCATGGCTCTTGCATCGTGACAATGCACAAGCTCACACAGCACTGTGTGAGGGAGTTTTAGCCAGTAAACAAATCACTGTGTTGGAACACCCTCCCCCCTCACCTGATCTGGCCCTCAATGACATTTTTTCTTTGCCTGAAGATAAAAGAAATATCGAAAGGAAGGTATTTTGATGACGTTCAGGACATGAAGGGTAATATGAAAACAGCTTTGATGACCACTCCAAAAAAAGACTTCCTAAATTGCTTTGAAGAGTAGACTAGGCACTGGCATTGGAGCCTGGCTTTGGAAAAGGAGCCCTTCTAAGGTGACTGCTGTAATATTTAGCAGTGAGGTATGTAGCACGTTTTCTAGGATGAGTTATAGAACTTAAAAGTCAGACCATGTATGGCACTTCTTGTCCGTGTCCTTAACCAGTTTGCAAGCTCCATGAGGGTAGACTATGAGCATTCTTCTCACTCCCCTGGTCTTAGCATCTAGAGCAGAACTTGTACATCAAAGGCGCTCAATAAACATCTGAATGAATATATGAATGAAAGATACAGGAGAAGGAGCTGGCCCCTGCCAGTGGGCTTTGAACCAGCCAAACACCTCGACAACTCACACTCACGAGTCTGGATGTATTTCCAACTCACCTTGCAGTTAGATGCATCCATTCAATGTATAATTATTAAACATCTAATAAGTCTAAGTGCTGAGCCAGGTAGTCAGGGATACACAATCTCTGACACCCACAACTGTGTAACACTATGGGATGACAAGAGAAACATTTACAAAAACCAGTGTGGAGAGGGTGAAGGGAAGGAGAGAGGTACCTGGATCCAGAGCTGCTCCTTCAACAGTGACGATACAGAACAACTTGATGAGATCTCCCCGGATGACTGACGGTGTGTCTGAGTGCACAGAGGCATTAAATATAGGACCTGGAAGAAAGTAATGCTGGCCTCATTATTCTCTTTCACACTTTTGTCAAACTCCATCCTTGGCCCCCCAACCGGCATCTAAATGCAGTTCCCTTTTCTGGGAACTGGTCTAGAAACTTACAAAATAGGTGCTCTGAGGTCGTCTCTCTCATGTTCAGAGAGACATGTGCATTAGACGCATCCGAAAGAGCCTCTCATCTCAGGATCACAGCCCAAAGGGAACTATTCCTAAAGAGGTGCTTCGCTCAGCTTTTCTTCTGCCTTTTCTGTGATGACCACCATGGTTTCATTCAAAGCCCACCCCCACTTCCCACCCAGGTGTAGCCTAGGCTGTTCACTTCCAGGCTGAGATGGCTTGGCAGTCAGAAGGACAGGGACTGAACCAGGCATGTTCTTGGACTCAGTGGAGTGAGTGGGCTCCCTGCGCTGTGCGTGGGGCCCTGCTGTTAAGAGGCTGAAACACAGACATCCAACATCCATGTTTCTATGAAGTTTGGTGGCAATGCTGAAGGCATGGCTCTAGTTCACCAGGGGAAACTGAGACAGCCTGGATATTCCTTTAAAAGAAGAGACTGCGCATGTGTGGGGCAAGGAGTCTATGGAAACTCTCAGCACTGACTGATCAATTTTGCAGTGAACCTTAAAATCACCCTAAAAAACAGAAGTCTAGCAGACACACACACAAACAACAAAAAGAACCCTATCCAGGCAGGATCTGTATTGCATGCCTCCTGAGAACACTGAGGAATAATTATTGCTTTTAATTTATCTCTATATCATTCTTGGTGAGAATATTTCATAACTTTTAAGCCAAGCTGATCTGAAGAGTTCAACGTTTATTCCAACTCTGAAGATCTTGGAACAGGCAAACCTGAAAGAAGTATCCAGAACATCAGTGCTATGGGATTCCCCCTGGGTGCAGATTCTAAAATTCATTACAAGTTAAGATTATAGGGATCACTCAGGAGGCTGAGGCAGCAGGGTAGCTTGAGTCCAGGAGCCCAGGAGTGAGGTTTGCAGTGAACTGTGATGCCACCACTGTGCTGCCACCTGGACCAGAGTGAGACCCTGCTGGAGGGGGGTAGGGGGGAGAATAAAAAAGAATAAAGGTGTTGCTACTTTCTTGATCAGATTACAAGAAAGGAAAAGGAAACAGAAAAGGAAGGATAAAGGAAAAAGAAAAAGAAAACAGGTATCATTACTTTCTTGTTCCGATTATAAGAAAGGAAAAAAGTACCTCAAAGCACTTTTGTCAGACTTTCAGAAGAAATGATTGTGACTCAGTAAACTGTCCTGCCACCCAATGAGGCAGTTAACAGAAAGGGCTACACTTTCATTTCAACATGATGACTCTAAGATGATGTCATGAGATTGCTTTGCTACCTAAGTACACGAACACTTTGTGTTTTCCTGGGAGAAAGGTGAAGGATGGTTGGAGAATACGGAGCCCTGGAAGGGTGGGCACTGTCAGAGTTCTGGTTATCCAGGGAGCAGCGCGGGGCTTAACTCTGGGGGAGAGAGAATACGATGGAACGGCAGTTGCAGGGAGTTGGGAACAGGATGACAGCGAAGCCGACAAGGGAACTCGACCTACTTCTGGAGTTCATCTCCTCCAATTAACTCAGCTGTCAGGCCTGCTCCCTCGGGTCCTCAGACCCCAAACCTGTTCTGCCCACAGCAGTGAGGTGGGGCAGGATCAGGCAGAGCGCTCCACATTGGCTCTGTGGGGACTGGCAGGCTTACGCCCTGCACGGCCACCTGTGAGCCAGGAGAGGTGAGTAGTGACCCTGGGGAGAAATCGCATAGAAGTGAACAGAACCACACCAAGGGGGGCCTTTCTTTGAGCGTTCAGGCCCCTTCTAAGAGAACACAAAAGGACAAAACGTTAAGAAATCCTCATGATGGATTATGTTTCTACTTGTGTCGTTTGAAATAGCAAAGATTGATTTACCTAATTTGGTCAAATTTGACTTTTTCTTTATGGTTAGTATTTTCAGAGAAAACCCCAAAAGCCTCTCCTAGGTCACAAGTCATAGTTCTCACTTCCCCTATGAGCTCTGGCTATCAGCAGAGCATCTGCGCTGCCCACAAGGACTGCAGGAAAAGGCCTGCGTTGTGGCGAGCTAGTCACAGTGCTGGATTTCTTTCTAATGAAATCAACAGCACACTGTTAATATGGGTCATTATCCCAGGCTTAGCAATATTTTCATTATGGTCAATTTCTGTGCTAATGCCTTTTTTGTGAGAGGATTTGTCTGGATAAATTCACAGACAGAGCACCACGGCATAGAGGATTCATGTGAATGACCAGAGTCACTATGGGTCCCCCGATTCCTGGTCTGCAGAGAGCATAAGAGCCACTTAGATTTTAAACACAGACATCAACACAAACCATGTTCCAACTCTGGCCTTTAAAAAGGCTGTTGATGGCAGTATTTTTGTGAAAGCAAAAATTGAGGACCATCTGCACATCATCAATAGGGTAAAGAGGGCTCGGCGCCTATAGCTCAACCGGCTAAGGCGCCAGCCACGTACACCTAAGGTGGCGGGTTCGAATCCCCAGCCCGGACCCGCCAAACAACAATGATGGCTGCAACCAAAAAATGGCCAGGCGTTGTGGCGGGCGCCTGTGGTCCCAGCTACTTGGGAGGCGGAGGCAGGAGACTCGCTTGAGCCCAGGAGTTGGAGGTTGCTGTGAGCGTGATGCCATGGCACTTTGCCCAGGGGGATAGCTTGAGGCTCTGTCTCAAAAAAAAAAAAAAAAAAATAGGGTAAAGGGCTAAGCAAATTCTAGTATGTGTAGTTTTAAAGTTGGTATTTACCTAGAATTGGTTATAATATGGAAAACGCTTGTAACATTAAAGGGGAGAAAAAAAGGTCACAGAATATACAGCCTGACCTTGAAGTCATGAAGAAAACATCCAAGGGAAAAACTCTAGAAAGATGAACCACACAAATTAACAGCCTATAATAGTCTGCACAGGATAATCGAGGATTCTTTCTCTTCTTTCTCCTTCATTATTGTTTTAAATTTTCTATATTAAAAAGAAAAATGTTTATTACTGTTCTTTTCAAAGGCCAAAGTCTATACCAACACATTCAAATCCCATTTTCCCTATCTATGCTTCCTGTCAGTAAAAGCCATGACTTAGTAGGACCACTTGGTCCTTAGAGGCCCTGAAATCAGGTGACAGGCAGATGAACACCACAGGGACCCCTGTTGTGTGTCTGAAGGTATGACACTGATCTCTAGGAAGCGAAAGCTCTTCAGTTTCAAATCAATGTCTGTTGAGGGTTGTTTGAGGGAATAGCATTATGCTGGGTGTTGACTTGAAAAGCTGATGGCAGCCTTTTCTAATTAAAATGTGAACTTGCCCTGACAATTCTGTGGATTAAATAATAATAAAAACTTCGGGCAATCTATTCAACCTGGAAGCTACACTGATTTTATCTGTTATGGTGAGATTTAAAGAATTGAGAAATAGTCTATACTCATTCCTCACCCAGAAATAGACACAAAAGATTTTATGTCTCCCCTCTTCCCCATAACAGTTTAAAAGAAAGATCAAATAACCAATGTAAAACAAGATGGAACGGACTCCTACAGACAGCAGAACAGATGCAGAGACACGGAACAGAGTCCACAGAACCATCTCATCTCAACAGACACGGGAAAAGCATCTGACAATACTCGATACCTTGACGATAAAAAAAAAAAAACACTCAACAAACTGAGAATAGAAGGAGATTTCCTCCACTCAATAAAGGGAATCTATGAAAAAACCCACAGCTAACATAATACTTAGTAGCAAATAAGATTGAACACTTTCCTGCTCAGATCAGGAAAAAGACAAGAATGTCTATTTGTGATACTACTATTCATCACCAGATTAGAAATTTTAGCCAGGACAATTAGGTAAGAAAAAGAAATAGAAGATATTAAGCTTGAAAATGGAGAAATCAAACTATCTGTTCCTACATAATATAATCTTGTATTTTAAAAATTGTAATGTAAGGGGTTCCAACAAAATATTAGAATAAACAAGTTCAGCAAGGTTATAAAATATGAGATCAATATAAAATAAAAAGACTGTGGCAGCACCTATAGCTCAGCAGGTAGGGCACTGGCCACATACACCCAGGCTGGTGGGTTCAAACCTGGGACGGACCAGCTAGGACAACAATGACAACTGCAATAACAACAAAAATAGCTAGGTGTTGGGCACCTGTAGTTCTAGCTACTAGGGAGGCTGAGGCAAGAGAATTGCTTAAGCCCAAGAGTTTGAGGTTGCTGTGAGTTGTGATGCCACGGTACTCTACCAAGGGCAACATAGTGAGACTCTGTCTCAAAAAAAAAAAAAAGATTGTGTTGCTATAATAACTGAAATGAACAAGGTGAAAATTAAGAAAGCATTTCCAAAAAAAAGGAAAAAATAAAAAAAAACCCAAAACAGAAATAAAGAAAGCAATTCCATTTATAATACCATAAAAAAAAAAAAGAAAATAGGATAAGTTTAACAAAAGAAATTTTAAATTTGTACATTGAAAACTAGAAAACATTACGGAAAGAAATTAAAAGGCCTAAATAAATGGGAAGACATTCCATGCTTACTCATTGAAAAACAATATTGTTAAATGGCAATACTCTGCAAACTGATGCACAGATTCAACACAATCCCTGGCAGAGTCCCACCTGTCTTTTTTATAGAAATTAACTGGCTGATCCTAAAAGTCACATGGAAATACAAGGGACCCAGAACAGCCGAAGCAATCTTGAAAAAGATCAAAGGTAGAAAGTCTTTCCAATTTCTTGATTTTAAAACTAACCATAGAGCTACAGTAATCACACAATGTGGTGATACTTGTATAAAGGCAGAAATGTAGATCACTGGAATAGAATCGAGAGTCTAAAAATAAATGCTTACATTTATGATTAAATGATTTTTGACAAGGGTGCCAAGACAAGTCCATGGGGGAAAGAACAGACTTTCCCACAAATGGTGCCAGGACAACCACATATCCCCATGCAAAAGATAGAAAGCTGGATTCCGTCTGTATACCACAAATGAAAATTAACTCAAAATGACTCACGGCCCAAAATATAACTGCTAAAACTATAAAACTGTGAGGACAAAACATAGGCATAAAGCTTCATGACCTTTGATTACACAATGATTTCTCAGATAAGATATCAAAAATACAAGCAACAAAGGGAAAAGACAGAGAAATCGAACTTCATCAAAATTTAAAATTTTGGTGCTTCAAGGGGCGTCACCAGGAAAGTGAAAAGATGACACATAGCATGGGACATTATTTTTGAATAATTTTGAATTATTCAATAATTTTTTAATTATTTTGAATAATTTTTATGGCAGCATTATGCATAATAGCCAAAACATGAAAATAATCTAAACGTCCATTGACAGATGAATGGATAAACTAAATGTGGAATAGGATGGAATATTATTTAACCATAAAAATGAATTACTGATATATGCTACGACGTGGATACATCTTGAAAATACCATGCTACGTGAAAGAAGTCAGCCACAGAAGTCCACAGTGATTCAATTCACATGAAAAGACAAATCTCCAGCAACAGCAAGGGAACTTGGTGGTTGCCAGGGTCAAGGACATGGAGTGACTACTAACCAGAACAGGGTTTCATTTTGGGGTGATTAAAACGTTCTGAAATAAGATAGTGGTGATGGTGACACAGCCCTGAATATAGTCAAAAACCGCTGAATTACTACCATAAGTGGAAGAATTTTATGGCATATGAACTGTATCTCAATCTAGTGGTCATTAAAAGCAAATAGACAATAAGGGAGGCCTAAGCTTTCTCTGCTCTTTCCAGTTCTAAATCAATACTTATCCTTTATTAATCTAAAGGTTAAAAGAGATGCTAGGTGATTATTTCACTGTGTACTATAAATGGTTATAATAATACAAAATAATATTAATAAAACCTAAACTTTTTAGAGTCAAGCTTATCTTTAATATAAATGCTAATGATTTAAATTAATTCAACAAATATCTTGCATTCCTTATACTGATTCAATTAATATCTGAATTTTTACAGATGAATTTCTTTTTTTTTATTAAATCATAGCTGTGTACATTGATACAGTCACGGGGTAGAGTGTGCAGATGAATTTCTAACTGGAACCCAAAGCACATTTAGTCTGCAATTCACAAATGATAATCCTTCACATTGATATTCTAAATAAGATTGGGGCTCAAAAGCTTTTAAATCATCTTCCTGCTAAAACACACACACACACACACACACACACAAAAACAGATGTGTCGGATGACGTTAAGAAACTACATCGATGAGTAAGATATAGCTCTCTTTGAGAATATTACCTTGTATCTATGCTATTTAAAAAAGCGGATCTTTCTGCTTCATAGCATAAAAACAGTCTACTTACCAAGGAAAACATCATTTCAGAATAGACATAAAAAGATCCTTATTTTAATTAACTTTCTCATAAACAATGATAACAAACCAGGCTGACAGATAACATTCATCCACACCACAACAGTTTTGGTGACTCAACTTATTCATAGGAGCTCTTGGCCCAGTCCCAAAGCAGGTGAGGAGTAACGGTGGGATAGTTATCCCCTGTATGGAAACACTGCTCTCATTAGGTGGGTGAAGAATAGGGGTCACCATCTTCAGTCCCAGGGGCACCCTGGGCCTGGGGTCTTAGCTCTGAATCTTCCACTGCAGGGGAAGTCATTTTACCCCTCAGGAGGCTGAGTTCCCTCCTCTCTTTTTGTAATACCACCATGTTCCCTAAAGGATCTGAAGTAGCTGAGTTTCAGTTCATTTTTTTAAACTGAGAACAGGGCCAGCGTGGTGGCTCATGCTTGTAATACTAGCACTCTGGGAGGCTGAGGTGGGTGGACTGCTTGACCTCAGGAGTTTGAGACCAGCCTGATCAAGAGCAAGGCCCCGTCTCTACTAAAAACAGAAAAATTAGTCCGGCATAGTGGTGGGCGCCTCTAGTCTCAGCTACTTGGGAGGCTGAGGCGAGAGGATTGCCAGAGTCAAAGAGTGTGTGAGGTTGCTGTGGGCTATGGTGACACCACAGCATTCTACCCAGGGTACTAGGTGAGACTCTGTCTCAAAAGAAAATAAATAAATAAGAGGGCAGAGATGAATACACACTTTCGCAGAAAAACTTAGGCATGAATGTGTTCATAGCAGCATTATTTATAATCAAAAACCAGAAACAAGTAAATGTCCACTGACTGATGAACAGACACACAGAACGTGGTATAACTGTACAATAGAATATTATTCAGTCATAAAGTACTGTGTTTGCTACATTACGGGTGTGTCTTCAAACATTATGCTAATAAAAGAAGCCAGACATGAGGGCCACACACTACATTCTACTTACGTAAAAACTCCCATCGTGGGCAAATCTAAAGAGACAGAAATCAAGACAGCGGGTGCTACGGAATGGGAGGCAGGAGAGGCGGGGGTAGATATAGTTGGAGGGTGCTGGCTCAGGGCTCAGGGTTTCTTTTGGGTGAAATAAAAATGTCCTAAAACTAATTGTAGTGATGGTTGAACACCTCTGTGGAGTATATGAAAAACCACTGAATTATGTACCTTTAACGGGTAAACTGCACAGCATGTGAATTACAGCTTACAAAAGTTGTTTTCAAAAATAAGGGCATCTGACCCCAACCCTCCTGTTCTCCTCCAGCTCCATCTCTGACTCACCTGAGGTTTGGAAGTCTATCTCAATGGGATTGGAGAGGCTGGTTGCTGCTTCTCGCCACAGGCTGCCCCTGACAGGAGACCATGCCGTCACCATGCAGCGGTACAGCCCGGCATCTGACACCTGAGTCTGGTACATTCGGTAGCGAAATTCATCCTCCTGCACTTTTTCTAACACAACACCATCCACCCGCGATGCGTCTGTCCAATTCTCCAGTTTCACCACAGAGTCCTGGTCCAGGGAGATGATGTACTTGGTTTCATTGGGACTGGAGAGGTCCCCGACGGGCTTCTCGGCCGTGATGAGAACAGAGTAGCGTGGTGATTTAATATTCTTGGAAGACACTTTGCAAGTCATCTCAAATGTATTTCCTGCAGCAAAGAAGGGCTTTGGCTGCCTGGCTTTCACCACAAGCACGGAATCTGGAATGAAGTGCCAGAAGGAGGTGAATTCCAACAGGATCGGTTAAAATGACTATGCTACAAAAAGCAAAATGTCAAGGAAATAGGAATTTATTTGCAAACGCCACGTAACAGCACTTACGAGAAGCTGGAAACTTGGAAAGAAAATCGTGTGTTATCTGTGAGCAGGCTGAAAAGCACCACACTGAAATGATTTAATGGGTGCAAGGAGAGAAGGAATCAATGGTGAGAATTCGGTTTTAAGGGTTTTCAGAGTCCTCAAGAAGTCTCACCAAGAAAACGTTGTGTGCTCTAAAGATGTGCACTCTTTTTGCTTCTCGTGTGTGCTAAGAGCAGGGAGCAAGGGAGAAATGAGTTCTCTTTGTGTAATTGTGCGATGGTAACATTACCGGGCAGATTTACTACTAAAATGACTGAAGCATGTGTATTTATAGATCTAATCATTTCCACTTGGTTTACACTTTAATTTCAGAAATGCTTTAACGTTTTGAGAACTGTCTATGGCTACACGAACTTTAGGTTTACATGTATTACTCCCTGCTTCTCTGGCAAAACAGTTATTCCTACACACAGATACATTAGAATTCTCCTTTTATAATGGCACCACAGCAGGCCCTTGGAAGGTTCTTAAATTCTTGTTGACTGGATGAACAAATTAGACACAGTCTTTTCTTATAAGATAATTAATCCTATAGTCTGTCCAGCTGTTCAGATTTTTATGTTAGGTTTCTTAGAACATTTGTGCCATCAAACCTATTAGTAGCTGTAACTCAAGTGGCTAAGGCACCAGTCACATATACCAGAACTGGCAGGTTCGAATCCAGCCCAGGCCTGCCAAACAGTTGACAACTACAACCAAAAAACAGCCGGGCGTTGTGGCAGGCACCTGTAGTCCCAGCTACTTGGGAGGCTAAGGCAGGAGACTTGCTTGAGCCCAGGAGTTGGAGGTTGCTGTAAGCTGTGACACCACGGTACTCTACCCAGGGCGACAGCTTCAGGCTCTGTCTCAAAAAACAAACAAACAAACAAAAACCCCTATTAGTAGAACATGCGCATTATACTCTCTCCAGAATCACTGATTTCTGAGGTTCCCCTGAGCCATCACATTCTTTTTTGATTCTTCCATGAGTTTGAGTCTCATCGAATCTCATCTGTTTGTTAACTAGGCATGTGCTTGTTGAGAGCCTTCCACATTTCAGGTGCTGGGATAGGATGGCAGACAAACACATACAGACACACACTCTTCACATGCTAGTGGAAGAAGATAAGCCAAATAAATATGTGCTATGGCTAGATGGTGATAAATGTTTAAGAGAAAATAAGCCAGGCAAGGAAGAAACAAAGTTTGGGTTTGTATGGGGAGGGGGTATCACACTTCTGGATAGAGTGGCCAGGGACGTCCTCGCTGAGAAGGCAACATTTAAAAAGAACTGAAAGGCCGGTGTGGTGGATCACCCCGGTACTCACTCTGGGAGGCTGAGATGGGTGGATTACCTTAGCTCAGGAGTGCAAGACCAGCCTGAACAAATTCAAGATCCTGTCTCTAAAAAATAACCAGGCACTGTGGCAGGTACCTATAATCCTAGCTATCAGGGAGACTGAGGCAAGAGAATTGCTTTGAGCTTGGGCTCAAACTGAGCCTGACTCAGTTTGAGGCTGAGTGAGCTATGACACTACAGCGCTCTACAGAGGGTGACAAAGTAAGAGTCTGTCTCAAAAAACAAAACAAAACAAAACTGAAGGAGGGGTGGCGCCTGTGCTGAGTAGGGCTCCAGTCCCCTATACCAAGGGTGGCAGGTCCGAGCCAGCCCCAGCCAAACTGCAACAAAAAAACAGCCAGGTGTTGTGGCGGGTGCCTGTAGTTCCAGCTACTTGGGAGGCTGAGGCAAGAGAATCGCCTAAGCCCAGGAGTTGGAGGTTGCTGTGAGCTGTGATGCGACAGCACTCTACTGAGGACGATAAAGTGAGACTCTGTCTCTAAAAAAAACCCCAAAAACCGAAGGAGGTGAGGGAGCAGGGGCTGTGGGTCTCTGGAAAGGCACTCTGGGAAGAAGGAAAGCTACGAGGCAGGAGCAGGCCTGGCACACGTGAGGAACCATGGGGAGGGCAGAGTGGCTGAGCAGAATGGGTCCCAGGAAGAGCAGAGGCAAGGTCAGATGGTAACGGGGCCAGTCGGCACAGGACATCCAAGGCCACTGAAAGGATGCTGGGCTTTGCTCTGAGTGAGACGGGGAGGTTTCCATGATGTGACCTACATTTTAACAGAACGATAGCATCTGCTGTGTGCAAAGGCAGACGTGGAGGAGGAGGAGGGCACCGGTAAGGAGGCCAGCACTACGGTCCAGGCGAGGACAGCGGCGGTTCAGGAAGGGCGGAGTGTGAGAAGAGGTCAGAAAGAATGAGGAGTCAGGGATGAAGGCCTTGGTCTGAGCGACTAGAACAACGGTGTCGGAGGGAGCGGGGAGAAAAGAGCTGGCAGGGAAGTTTGAGATGCTGTTTAGACAAGCAGAGGAGTCAGGAAGGCAGCCCACGATGGAGCCTGGAGTTCTGGAAAGAAATCTGCAGGAGCCACCAGTGTATAAATGGTATAAATTCATAAGAGCGGAGATTACCAAGGGACTGAGAGTAAATAGAAAAGACGTCCCAGGACTACGTCCTGAAGCAGTCTCAGTTTGAGGGTCAGGAAAATGAACAGGAACCAGTAAAGGAGGCTGAGAAGCAGCAGCCAGTAGGGCTGGAAGCAAGCCCTGGGATGACGGTGTCGTGTCCCAGGGAGAAGCAAAGCATCCCAGGGGGACCCACGGTCACTTGTGCTAAATCCCGCTGAGTCAAGCAAAATAACTGGATTTGCAATGTGTTGACCACTGTAATCTTAACACAAAGAGCAGAGATACATGGGCCAGGCCCCAGATTCGAGTTGGTACCGTAAGAATGAGAGGAAAAGAACTGGAGACCCTCAGTACAGATAAATCCAATGTTGTTGCTGTAAAAGGAAAGAGTGTTACAGGAGGGCAAGTGGGTGTGGGAAACAGAAAGATGGAGCGGAAGCAACACAAACGTTAGTTTAGCTTTTAAAAAAATATATGAGACCTAACAGCTTAGTGTCAGGCCAGTGGAAAAGGCCCAGAAGGGAGAGAAGTCTGTTTGACATTTGAGAGAGGAGCCGTGCGCGTGAGCAGTGAGGGTCTGGCCTCTGCTCAGACAAAAGGATGTGGGCTCAGCACCCAGGTGGAGGGAACGGGACACTCCTGATGGTTTCTATTTTTTTGTTTGTTTGTTTGTTTGTTTTTATTTTTAGGGAAATAGGAAGCAGAGAGGTGGAGGAGGTGGCTTTGCAGAGAAGGCGGTGGGGAGAGTTGGAAGTAAACAGATTAAGGAGATACAACAGGATTCCCAGGCAGCACTGCGAGCCCACTTAACGTAAGTGATCATGACTTTAAAGTCAACATGATCCGGCTCCGTGCCTGTGGCTCAAGTGGCTAAGGCACCAGCCATATATACCTAAGGTGGCGGGTTCAAATCCAGCCTGGGACCACCAAACAACAATAATGCCTGAAACCAAAAAATAGCCAGGTGTTCTGGCGGGCGCCTGTGGTCCCAGCTACTTGGGAGGCTGAGGCAGGAGACTCGCTTGAGCCCAGGAGTTGGAGTTTGCTGTGAGCTGTGATCCCACAGCACTCTACCCAGGGGGACAGCTTGAGGCTCTGTCTCAGAAAAAAAAAAAAAAAGTCAACATGCTTCAACGTTTTTCTCCAACCAGAGATAAGGCGGTGGCAGAGAGTTGGCTTTGAACTAGGTTGTGGCAAGCAAGAGAGAGGCAGGGGAGTGAGGGTGATGGAAGGGAGTGACTGTGACGGAGGGGAGTTTAGGCTGGGTAGCAGTGGGTGGCCGTGTAATCTGCCCCTAACTCCAACCCCTGCACACACCTCTGGACAAAAGAGGGAGTCATAACCACCACACCAGGACAATGGGTGTAAACTGGATTACCCTGAGCAACCGGTCAGGTCACCCCGGGTAAGAGAGAAGTGAGGACACGATGGGCGTGAAGGATGATGTTGGGGGGCAGGATTAATTCACAGACTGTCAGTCCTGGTTGGGTCAGAGGGCTGTTGGTGGAAAAATGGAAGGAGTGATGTAAAAAGACAGAGATGTGTTTGGAGAATAGGATGCTCATCACTGAGACTGGGGAGGGGCTGAAATTCCTTGAAGCCTAATGTAGGGTATCGGCATGGGAGTGAAGGACCAAGACAGGACAGGGACATGGCGATGAGAGGGAGGAGGAGAAGGGATGGAGAGGGAAGGAGGACATAGGTGAAGGTAGGGCTCTCAACCTCTGCTGCGCAGGAGAATCCCCGTGGCAGCATTTAAATTCTCCAGTCCTAGACTGCCTACACTTTAGACCCGTGATTTTTAACTGGTGTGCCAGGAGAGGATCTTAGGTGCGCTACAAAATTTTTAAAAATCATTAGCTAGATTATTTCTGAAAGAAGTTCAAAGCACTAGAAGAATATTCCCTTTTCCTATTCTTTATTTTTTTGATCAACATAATTGAAGTGTGCCTCGGAAGTTGGACTATAGGTACAAGTGGGTCATGAGATGAAAAAGTTTGAAAATCACTGCTCCAGACCAACTAGAATAGAATATCTGGTGGGGCTCAAGCATTGGCTTTTTTTTTTTTAAGCTCCTACAGGGGGTTCTAATTGTGACCCAGAGCTTTACATGGATAATGAATTTAGCAAGACGGGAGTCGTAGTAGACAATGGCCATGAGACAAAAGCTAACACCTTCAAAGGGTGAATGGGGGACCTTGGAGTCAGCGGGCAGTGGCCATGAGAGCCGGTCTGACGACATGAGAACTGAGGCTGGACAGTTTTAGGGGTGAAGGAAAATGGTTTGGTAGCTACAGTGGAGAATAAGCAGGACACCGGCCTCACCCCCAAGCCCAGCTACATGAGACCTACGGGAGGGAGGTGCCACCGCTTAGGAGGCTGGGGGGAAAGTGTCCCTAGAGCGGTCATACTGAGTGCAGGGCAGAGAGCAGGGGCAGAGATAAAGTTCAGGAAGCGGGAGATCCGGCCGATGGCAGTGAGCTCTACAGCACTCTCTTTGGGATTTGGGGATACTGTGAGGGGTGGGGGGTCGTGAGTACAAAGAGGGTGTAGAGGGCTGCACTGTGACTCACGTCCAGGCCCTGGATCCTGGTATGAGTGGTGACCCACGGGGGCAACTGAGCGCCTGAGAGCACATAGTGAGACGACATAAGCAAAAATAAAACAAAATGGATGAGGAACAAGATCGCAGCTCCCACCTTCTGATGCCCAAAATACGTTGACGGGCTTGGAGAAGACGTCCTTGCTCTTCACCCAGCTGCTGTTGCGCTGCTTGGTCCAGGCAGACACGACACAGTAATAACTGCCTCTGTCTTCCTCTGTAGTCCTTTGAATCCGGAAATTGAATGTGTCTCTGTGCTCCTTCGAGAAAAGAAACTCTCCATCCTGGGCCCGCTGCCTGCTCCTCTCCCCGTATTTCAGCGTCCAGTCCCCATCCATGACTGCAAGAAGCTCGCTGGTCACCACGTCGTCACTGCGCCGGTTCATCCTGTAGTACCAGGAAACGGTGAAGCGGACGCCTGCCTGTGCACCCTTCGCGTCCACCACCCGGCATTCCAGCTCCGTGGGGTCGTCTGCAAACCCGGGGACCTTGGAAGCATTCAGGTACACCTGGTAGTCTGGTTCTGAGCAAGACAGAGAGAAAGGCTGGGATGAAAACATAATGAGACAGCAACATACCGAGAATTAGCAGAAGGAACCAGACAGGTACTGCTCGTGTTCTGACAATTACGACGCGCCCCTCCAGCCCACAGAGTGAGAGCTCAGTCCTTGTCCGATGGGATCTCACAGGAGTGTTTCTACAAGTGCCGCAGAACACTGTCCCATGTATTCTCAAGAAAGCCTCCAATGCCAGAAGCCAAATGTCCTCAGCCAGTCTGTGTCTTTTGGCAGGGCTGGAGTTTGCTGTCAGTGCCCCCAAAGGGTAAAGTGCTCTGAGAAGGATCTCTTAAGCTCAGTGTCCACAAAAGTCTACCAAAAGATTATCTCTAGAATGCCAAGCAAGCCCACAGATCTCCAAAGCTCCCACTAGAAAACCCCACCTCAGAGAGTATTCCAGAACTGGAGGTCAGTTCATCAAGCCTCCCATGGGTTGGGCTCTTGGCATCTTTGGCCGTGCCCCAAAGGCAAGGCCCTCAGGCCATCGTTCCCCCTACACAGTTTCATCCTTCCCTTACTGCGCCTCTGACTTTTTCTGCTGGATCTATGTTCAGTGGTCAGTTAACACTCCCTATCCTCAAACTCCCCGAGTGCCACATGTGACTCATCCATTGTAGTGTGAGCACACCGCCTCCCAAATTCTGATGGGAGTGGGAGGAAAGGTCTCCTGGCATCCCCCCACCTCTGCTTCAGTCCTGTTGTTTCTCACTTGTATGAAAACCCCTCTTCCTCCGGGGTTCTCTGCACCTCCACATATCTGTCTTCGAGGCCCCAAGGCTTCCTCCACGCTTGCCAAGGTACTGGCGTCAGCCCCTCTGTAGCCTTCTCGCTTCTCCCCCTTGCCGCCTCCGTCAGACCCACTCACCTCAGGTTCTCCAGGCCCCACAGTCCCACACCGCCATGGTGACCTGACTGGGATGCCCTGCAAACCGCCTCTCATTCTTCCAACCTCACCTGGGTCCTCACCCACAGGTGACACTCCGTCCCTGTGCACCCACAGTCAACGTATCAGTCACCTGCTCCATCATTACTTTGTGCTAAGGTCTCATCCCCAAGCTATAAGCACAGGCCTTCTATGCAGCAGGCATTTGATAAATGCCCAGCTCCTTAACACTAAGGCTTTTAGAAAAGGCTACAGCACTTTGCCTTCTAGGAGAAAAATAATTCTACATAAACAGAACTTTCCACTTGCCGATACCGTCATTATCTGCATCACCTTGATCAAACAGTTTAGTTTTGTGTATTGTTTCTTTTATTTATGACACACAGAGTATAAACTGCTGAGGTCAGGGAACCGTTCTTTTGTGATTTACACTTCTAATGGAATTCATAACATCATGACTTCTCTCAGAAGGAGGCAGTGGGCCAGGCAACGGAAAGAACTCAAAATCCTAATTCCCTCAAATGTCATCTTGACAACCACTGAATTGCCTACACCCGTCTATGGAAGCACATCCCGCTGTGACGGACTCTGCAGAGAAACAGCACAGGCCACTGGATGCCGGACTGGAACAGCCCCACGGGCCATCCTGACCCCTTGGTTTACAAGCGAATGTGCAGAGGTCACCCAGCTGGGGGCCGTCTGCCTCAGGCACAGTGCCCACACACCACAGGCCACTGCGGAACACTGTTGTTCGCAGAAGACAAGAAACCCTCAAATTGCTCTCAAGGTTCAGGCCCTTTCTCATGTTGAATTTTGGATGCAGTCCCAAAAGCGACATGGGTACACATCAGGACAACGAGGTACATCTAGAGCAGAAAGCACATAGCAAGACGCCCCTGGACGCAAAGCATCAACTGTGTGTGCCGGCCCTGCCACCTGCTGCCCTCCCGCTCCATGGAGGCGGCACCTCTCAGCACTCGCTGCTCACGCAGCTCCCCATGTCTCTGCCTGCCTTCCCTCCACCGCAGCACCTGGGCACTGCTCATCGTGTTGCTGGAAAAATAACTGAACAGACTCTCCCTTTGTACTCCATCCTCAATAAAATGGATCTGCTTAAATCCTACGTATGCAAACACAGCACCATGAGAGTATAGGGGACGGAGAAGATGTGCCCAAGTCTGCAGGAATTCCAGCTGAGAGGGAAGAAAAATCTCTTCAATGATTGCAACCATCTCCTCATCCTCTGTTGAAACTCACCTAACTTAGGCCCCAGAAAAGGCAGCCTCAGCTGTAATGCCAAGACAAAGACAGCTGGATTCTTGGCTTGCGAACTTCAAGGTGCCGGTCTGTGTGAACTATCCCCCAGCCTTGTGGGGATTCTACTTATGCCTTGGAGAAGGCATGGTGCCTATGTGCCCGAACAGTAAGAGGACATGTAGGCTTTTATTTCTTTTTTGTTTTGGTGCATGTAAAGAAATCGTCCTTCAATGCTGTTTTACAATTTAAAAAATCATTTCCAGAGATCGCGCCCATCCTCAAGGCCAAGTGCACACACCTCTTCTGTGTAGCCTCTCCAAGGGGCCTCCTTTGAACTGGTTCGGCATGTCACACCTCTACTTTTTAGTTAACAAATCCTACCACCTGCCAGGTTCCTGCTCTCTAAGGATTTTCTTTGAACGCTGCCCCGAATTTTGGTCATTTGTACATATATCTCATAAACCTTCCAGAGGACTCTTCCCAGGGCCAGGGGTTACCTACCTTATATCTGTGTGTGTTACACATGCAGTGCCTTGGACATACAAGATATCAACATACTTGCTGAATTGAAGCAAATTTAATATTTTGCATAAAAATGCTCATTTTTGGCACAAGCACTTCACCGCTGATTACCGCTACATTCTGCTTGATCTCATCAAGAAATCAGCTATGAAAGCAACGGTGGTTAGGTTGAAAAAATGCTTATTGGTTAAAGATGCATACAAGGTATTTAACAGTAAAATGACATGACATCTGGAATAGGGTTTATACTATTCCAGGAGAAAAAAAGTATGTGTGTGTGTCCAGTGGAATAAGATCAGCAAAATATTGATAACTGTTGAAATTGGTGGTCATTTCGACTGCAAATATTCATAAATCCTTATTTTTAACACCTAAATCCTTTCACAGAATACTGAGGCCGGTCCAAATGCAGCATCACTAACATTCTGAGAAGCAGGGATCTGCTCCTGGCAGGATTCCAGGATGGCATGTGTTTACAGCCACACTCTGACCAAAGGCCCAAACTCCCAAGAGTGGCCTTCCCCAAAAGGAAGCTGTAACGACTCCTTCTTTTTAACTTTCTGAAATAGTTCGTGCCTCCTGAGCACAGGCCTCATCTAGAGGTTTTCACATAAAATACCTTCGTGTCCTCCTACAACAATTCTAGGAAGGCATCAGTATCCCCATGTGATAATAATAACTAGTGCATTACTGAGGGCCTTCTACATGCCAGGCACCAGGCTATCTACCTTCTTTGGATTTTTGCTTACTCTTGATAACAACCTTATGAGATTGGCACTATTTTCATGTACATTTCCAAATGAAAAATTAATAAAAGCAAAAACGTAGCCCAGAGGAACTAGAAGACTTTGGTCTTACATGGTATCTGTGAGTAGAATTACAGGAGAGGCTTTGGCTCCACGCCTGGTTCCCACTACAGCCAAATCACACAACTTCCTTATTTTATTTATTTATTTATAGACAGAGTCTCATTCTGTTCCCCTGGCATCACAATAACCTCAAAGTTTTAGGCTCAAGTGATCCTCCTCCCTCAGCCTCCTGAGTAGCTGGAGGTGCCTGCCACAACACCAGGCTAGTTTTTCTAATTTTAGTACAGACAGGGTCTTGCTCTTGCTCAGGCTGGTATTGAACTCATGAGCTCAAGCAACCCATCTGCTTTGGCCCCTCAGAGTGCTAGGATTATTATTATGGATGTGAGTCACCCACTGCCCCCAGCCCACTCAACTTCCTTACACACCCAGGTTATTAATCCTTTCTCAAACCCCGAAACGTCTCAGAAGACAAGAGTGAGGATGACAGCTGAAGCACTAATCCTGAAGTATGTACAGTAGGGCTGTGTTCTGATGCCCCCTCTGAAGCACACTGAACTTGGCATAGCTAATTCGACAAAAGGGCTGTAGGCACCAGTTAAAGCCAACAGGAGGAGGAATGCCCTGTCTGCTGATCATGTGGTTTGACTATCTTGAAGTAGGAAGGTCCTGTCGAGGCAGGTGAGCCTAATGACTAATTATCAGAGTTGCCATGATCACTGGTTGTATAACAATTCAATATCCTAGGCTGGGCGTGGTGGCTCATGCCTATAATCCTAGCACTCTTGGAGGCTGAGGCAGTTGGATCACCTAAGCCCAAGAGTTCAAGACCGTACTAAGCAACACGGTGAGAACCCATCTTTACAAAAAAACAGAGAGGTAAGCTATGTGTACTGTCACATGCCTGTAGTCCCAGCTACTCAGCAAGCTGGGGCAGGAGACTGAGCCCAGGAGTTTGAGGCTGCAGTTGAGTTTATGATGAAGCCACTATATTATAACCCAGAAAACAGAGTGAGACTGTATCTCAAAAAACAAACAAAAAACAAACTCAAAACACTAATAAATCATCATAATCACCACTAAGAAAATGTAATGAGCACTTAAGTATCAGGCAATATACTTTATATGCATTGTCCATCCTATAAAACCAAGAAAACCAAAGCTTACCTAGCAGCATTAAACAACACATCCAAGACAACATACCTAGAAGGTGGGGGAGTGGGACTCAACACAGGTCTGTCCTCCTGACTGCAATGCTTGCCCACCCACTCTTCTGCCTTCCAGGGTAATAATACTTACCCTTAAAAAGCCTACATGTCTGAACCTTATTTCCTGTAGACGGCCCAGAACTCTGAAGTTTCTACCAAGTACTTAGCAGATTAACGGCTTTCTTAAGAAAAATAATTACCTTCCTTGCTGGCACACTGCTGGAAGAAGGGACTGTGCCCTAGTGGGGAGAATGCAAATCAGGCTCTCAAGACTGGGCTGCAGAACTCAGCTCTGCTTCCCTCCACTCGGTATCTGAAACCCAGGAACCCTCTCCAATTAACGCTGTGAAGTCTGGTACGGCCACCGGAGAGCTCGACCATGAACTGATTAGTACCCAGCTCTTGCCAAAGGCTCATTCAAGACGTCTGATAGCAGAAGGAGATGGCTTAATGTGCAGATTAACTAGCCATTCTTCGAGATTCTCTAAATTTTAGACATATACTAAATTGGATCAACACAAAGCAACATTTGTCCCCCGCAGTAATTCAGCTTCTCCAGGAAACTCCTTCACACACTTAAGATTTATGCCCTCAGCTTTTACAGGGGGTGGATATAAGAAACATCCATTTTAACAATCGTTTAGGGCCTTTTGTAAAAGAACAGTTGAAAGCCCTGTCCATTATGTTATTTATCCAATGGCCCTGAAATGAAAAAGCACATGATAAATTCAGCGCCGAGAAAAAGTTTGTCTCTGAAACAGTTTACGTTTTCCTTCCTCGGAGGAGAACTGTATAATCACATCTTTTTGTCTCAGCTCTTCAAAACTTCAGAGGCAAACTCATTGCTTAAATGCAGCAACTAAGTCATCTCAAACACCCTTACAATATCTATTCTTTAATTTTCCTTTACCCCTTTTGATCTAGATTTTATTTTTATGTCCCCTGCTTTACACTGTGCTTCATTTTGCCAATTTAAATTTCTTCCCCTCCAAAGTAAGACATAAAAATTCTAAGTAAAAGAGGCTTTTTCTCACCCTCTAAAAATTCACTGTGACCCTCCTAACAGCTATACGTGCTCTTGGACTGGCCACACCCAGTCCCATCGCCACCCTGATGTCTTCCTGGTGAACACACTAAAACTCAAGAAAATTCCAATCACTTTCAAACCATCATCTGCCTCAGGGCACAGGCCCCAGCAAATAAGGACAAGAACTGCCCCACTATAATAGAACTCTACACACTGGAGTTTCAGGAGTGAAGCTCGTTCCCAAGGCCAATAATGATTCCACATAAGGTTAAATATTTAAGGCATATGACATCCCTAGCCCAGTTTCTAGCATATAGTAGGTTCCCAATAAATGGCAATTATTACTCTTAATCTATCAGGTAGCAAAACGTAGTTTTGTGTCATACCTACATGGGAACCAGCTTTCTCAAGAATTCTTCCAGGACGTCATTCCACAGTCTCACAACTTGAAATGACCTACAGAATAGAATACTTGGCAGGTCATTTTTTTTTTTTTTTTACAGTTTTGGCCGGGGCTGGGCTTGAACCTGCCACCCCTGGTATATGGGGCTGGCCCCCTACTTCTTGAGCCACAGGCGCCACCCAAGAATAGAGTACTTGGCAGGTCATTTTTTTCTTTTTTGGCCTACTTCCCAGTTACTTCGCACAGACCCCAAGTTGCACGTGGTACGGTGTCCAGATGCATATACCTACATGGTACATATCTAGACACAACCAGTTAGTGTCAGCCCAGGCTCATCAGTTTCTGGGCAGAGGATCCAGAGGGAAGTCTGGAAGGAAGGTCTGCTGCTGTACTCATGCCCTACTTGCCTCCTGACGGGCGTCCAAGCAGCTGTGATGGTGTGAGTCACAGGCACAGGGAAGGAGAAGATTGAAGAGGAACAAAGAGAAGAATGCAGTCATTTTTCATGCCACTCACACTCTTGGAGGTTTACTCAGGTGCAAACATCTCTGGATACCCCAGGAGTTGAACATTATTCCTTCCTTTGCAATTCTGATGTTCCTATGCACATATATTACCATGACCCCTGAGTTGGCACTGGTTTATTTACCCACCCAGCCAGGATTGACTGAGTGCCTGCTATGTGCAAAGCGCTGGGGACGGTGCAAGGTTCTCTGTACATTAGCATCAGTCAGAGGAAGGCGCGCCGATGACGCTCATGACGATGGTGCTGGCACTCCACAAGAAAACAAGTGACAGGATCCTTATGATAATAACCAAGCCTTTCCCATAATTTAGTCTCTGTTTCTTCTCACTCTCTGGAGAACAAAGCTACTAACAAATCCCTTGCAGTTGAAAAAGCCCTCTCCTTCCAGGGCACCTCTCCTGTTGTCTGACAGTCCCTGCATCCCCCCACCCCCCGGTACACCGGGATCCATGCACAAGCTCTTCAAAGATGCCCTCAAATTGGAGTACAGGCAGCACCTTCAATAAAAACAAAATCCTTGTGCTGGTATTCAGCAGTGGGAGGGTCGGGGGGGGGTGCTGTGGGGACTGAGAGGCGGTGCTGGGATTTGACAGCACCACACAATGTGCTGGGGATCAGAGCAGGGAGGCAAATTCAGCTCCAGAGATGAAAAATCTTCTTTTGGTGCTGACAACATCTGTTTTATTTTGAAGGTTGCTAAGGAGAGTTCTAGCTGGGCCAACATTGTTCCAGTTCAGTACTTCATAGTGAGTTTCTCGCGCAGGGTTCAGACGGCAGGAATAAAAGCTTGCCAGATAAACCCCGCTCCTTTTACTTTTCAGATATCAAAGGATCGTTTTGCTAACAGGGATGACTAACACCCTGTCTCGTCTCCATCGGAATTGGACTGTCCCTTCTGCTTACTCTTTATTACTGTTCTCCCTGCCCCCTCTGTCTCCACTTGTCACCTCCCCATCTTTGCCAAATAAAAGCTTTTTAGGGAGAAAAAGACAGTGACTACACACTACTGAGCCAAAAGAAGATTTGATGCAGAGGTAAGAAAGACTTGGTACGAACTGGGGGTCATGGCAGAAGGATCAGACAGAGGAGCAAATGATTTCCTGGCCTTTAGAAATCTGTTTTCCCTCATACTAGTCAGAGCAATGCCAAATGCCTTCACCAGGGCTCACGGGATGGGAGAGAGATCGAGCTCAAAGCCAGGGAAGAAGCTGACTGGCAGCCCCATCCCATCTTTGTAACAAGGGAGGCAGAAGAGAAGCTCTCTACACTTCACTCAACCCCCTGGGGTTACTTGCAATTAAGACACACAAAAATTAGGAATAGTTAGTATAAATTTTATCCAGAGGGCAAACACGTAGGGAAAAAAGAAACACAGGAAGACATCAGCGCACAAAGCAAGAAGACACGCCAGTGACCTTCACATACATGACTAGTTGCTATGTAACAGGTGCAAAGGTGATCACTCGGCTCTGCCCCTGGGGGGATGACACACGGGGTGAGAAAACCTACCAAAAGAGCCCGGGGAAGCAGAAAGACCCCTACATGTAACTGGTGTCTGCAAATAAAATCATTTGGGATTCCAAGGTATGACATGAAAAACATGCTTTCCATTAACTGAAGGAATTCCTTTTCTGCACTGGACTTGGGAAAAGCATCAGCTCCTGGCAGGGAACACCTCTGAATCCGGGAAACAGAAAGGCAGAAGGGCAGCAGTCTCCTTCAATAAAGACCCATTTCAAAGAGCCGTTCGGCAGTGCCCCAACCCTGTAAATCCCGACAACAAAAGGAAACCATCTCATCTCAATGAGGAGGGTACTCGGACAATTGAGGCCACATTTTCTAAACATTTCCCTTGCCTGCCAGATTCTATTTCAGCCAGTTTTGCTTTCAACCCCCCAGCTTAGGATCTATCCAGGCCAAAATATGCTAGGACTGATGTAAAGAATGTTAAAGTAACACAAAACACAGAGCACCCTGCCTCCTCCAGAAAGCTCCCAGGAGGGATTACCCGGGGAGGCTAAGAGCCATTCTCCGAACCACTCACCTAGCCAGGTCACGCCCACACTGGCTGGGGCAGACATGGCCTCTGCTACTTTGTGCCAGCTCCTGTTGTGTCCGGGTACCCAGAGTGACACGTGGCAGAAATAGAAGCCGGAGTTTTCTTTGCTAACATCTCGAACCAGTAAGTGGTAGGAGCGTGCGTCCATGTGACTCAGAGCAATGTGAGGTGAGCTGTGCACCAGGGAGTCACGGTCCAGCCGTGCCAACACGCGGGAGCCGGGCAAGGTGCTATCAGACACCCTGCTGAAGTACCAGGTCACCTCGGGTCGGATGTCATCCGTCCGGTCTGTTGTGATGTTGCAAGTCAGGTCCAGTTCCTTTCCTTCCACCACAGAGACATTCCTGGGCACAGCTGCTCGCAGAACTTGAAAATTAAAAACAAATACATCTAGATAATCCAGATGATGTTTGTTCCTTCCACCCCCACAGCCTCCCTTTAGGTCATCCCTTTTAAGTTCCCAGTTCTCATTTACGGAATTAAAGTTATAAGGTACAGTTATAAGTGCTTGAGAAATATTTAAGGAAAACATGAATAAAATATGCCACCTTTGCTTTTATAAAAACAGTAATAGCAGCGAACATTTATGGACACCTACTATATGTCAAGCAGTGTTTTGAGAGCTTTATAATACTAATCCTCAGAACAACTCTAGGAGGTCAGTAGATGCTATTACTATTCTGACTTTACTGATGAGGAAATAGAAGCCCAGAGAAGTTAAGTAATTTGCCCCAGGTCACACAGCTAATATGTAGCAGAGCTGGGATTGAAATCCAGACTATCTGCCTCTAGGAACTCTACTCTTCTGTTATATAACCCTTTGATAAGAAATCTGCTGAAGCTTGTAAAGACAGAAAGGACACTTTCTCCATGTGCATGTTAAAACTTGGTTTTACCAAGTAATTTATAGATAAAGGACAGCGTCGTCCTGACTGGTACACACTGTCAGTTGGGGGACAGGAAATGGAGGGTCAGAGGTAGGGTGAAAGCATCTTCTGGACAAAAGGGAAAAATCAGAAGTGGAATGGCCAAGAAAGTGAAACCAGACAATTTTCCTTATGAGTCAAGTCTTCAAAATATAACATCCTTAGAGAGTATCACTTACTTCATTAGACGTACCTACCTAAAAGTCAATCATAAAACCCAGATTCTAAACCCTAAACACAGTGATTTGGGGATGCCCCACACCATTGCCCTTTCTCATCAGTGTGGGAAATTAGAAGTAGACTATACTGAGATGACACGGTGTTCGGGCCACAGACTCAAGGCAGATCTAAATTCAGCATTCCCCCATCACACCTTTTAGATGTAAACATTTTACTCTATTCAGGGGATTGTCTTTTTGGGGTTTTTTTTGTTTTTTTTTGAGACAGAACCTCAAGTTGCCTCCCTGGGTAGAGTGCCATGGCAGCACAGCTCACAGCAGCCTCCAACTCCTAGGCTTAAGCGATTATCTTGCCTCAGCCTCCCAAGTAGCTGGGACTACAGGCACCCGCCACAACCCCCGGCTATTTTTTTTTTTTTTTTTGGTTATAGTTGTCAATGTTGTTCAGCAGGCCCGGGTTGGATTCAAACCCACGAGCTCTGGTATATGTGGCCGGCACTCTAGCTGCTTGAGCTACAGGCGCTGAGCCCAATTCAGGGGATTTTTAAATACGACTACAATCAGAGTAGAAAAGAATGAACTCAGTAATCCTCTGGGAACACTCACTCAGAGGATAAACAGCCAACACCTCCCAGGGGATTCAGGTAAGGCACAGCCCTGGCCTTCACCATGGCTCAGCATCAATTGCTGTCCGCAGTAAGCTCAGGGCTAAAGGCTGGTGCCCAATTCCAAAAAGACCCAACTTCAAAGCCCATGCCTTTTGGCATACATTACTTTATTTCCAAGGCCTGACAATATTACAAGCAAGTATTTCAAGTCAAGTTCAAAATGCCCCTTGACATTAAAAAAACAGAAAATGAGGTGGGCATAGAACTAGAAAAAGAAATTTGAAAGTCTAATTTCTCCCTCCCTCCCTCCTTCAAACTTTTTCTCCTCCCTCACCACTGTAAAGGGGCTAAAAAGGAATCGAGGGTATCTTTTGAGAGGATTCAGTAAGGAAACTGGCTCCCTAAGCTGGATTCTGTAGTTATAACCATACCACATGGAACACTGTGGCCAGAGCCCCTGGGATCCTGCTGAAACTGCCTCTGCAGGGCAGATACTGGAAGGAAAAGATGACTCTGAAGGGGGTTAGGTCAGCAGAGACATACTCGACCCACAGCTGTGGGCACTACAGATGGAGAAAACACATTCTTAGGCTCTAAAAATACAGCAGGAATGTCTCTTCAACTGTGTAGTTCACTTTGTGATTTTCTCCATGCAAGTGGCTATCTTGTAACATCACTAATCATAGATCCTACACAGTCTGGATATGGGTGTAAAGAGCTTCATTCTTTAAGTGGCTCTGTGCTCCTTATCCTAACACTATGACAGGAATATGTATTTTGCCAGCTGTAGACAGAGCAGGTGTTAACACAGAGAGAAAGACCATGTCTCTAGTGTGGTGGGATTTTTAACCTGGAGTCCACAAAGATAATTTAGGGAGTGTGAGCTTGAATGGGAAAAAAAATTCCATCTTTGTGTTAACTTACACTTGAAATATAGCATTTCCTCCCCTTGGGAAAGCAAGCATCAAACCAGTGTAGTATTATTACCTGCTCCTGGGACTTTGCTGCCAGGAGAAATAACAGATATTTTCACATCACGTTATAATTATTACAGACATCCTGAAATACTATTTACATTCACTGCTATATAGAAATTAAAGCTGGCTCTGCACCTGTAGCACAGTGATTACGGCGCCAGCCACACACACCAAGGCTGGCAGGTTCGAACCCAGTCCAGGCGAGCTAAATAACAATGACAACTGCAACAAAAAATAGCCAGATGTTATGGCGGGCGCCTGTAGTCCCAGCTACTTGGGAGGCTGAGGCAAGAGAATCTCAAGAGAAACTCAAGCCCAAGAGTTTGAGGTCACTGTGAGCTATGACGCCATAGCACTCTACCAATGGAGGGAGACATAGTGAGACTCTGTCTCTGTCTCAAAAAACAAACAAACAAAATAACAGAGAAATTATAGTTGTTGTTAGGCCTGCCACTATATCTTATTATCAATGCATTTAAAGAAGCATAATACTACTACAAATTTGTTTTAAAAATATTTTGGAAACTATTTCAATATAATTATTTTTATTTGTCATCTCCTACATTGTACTTTATGATTTAAAACATGTTAATTCTGAGTAAGGGTCTGTGGGCTTCAAAAGATCACGAACGATCCCATGGCATGAAAATGATTACAAACTGCCAGTCTCAGGTGAAAGCCGGACATTATTTCCTGCTGAATAGGTTCAGAGTGTTTAAGTCTTACAACTAGATATTATGGGTTCTGTGGTATTTCTGGGGAAAAAAATAGTTTTACAATTGAAATTCCTCCATAAAAATGGAACTTGCTGCAAAGCTGAAACTCTTAACACTTTTGTCTCAATAAAATACACTGTATTGTTTGAGGCAAGCTGACTATCTGGGTTTTTTTGGTTTTTGGCTTTTTTTTTGAGGCAGGGTCTCATTCTGTCACCCAGGCTGGGGTGCAGTGGCATGATCAAGATCACGATCACTGTTGCAACTCTTGAGTTTAAGAACTCCTCCTATCTCAGCCTCCCAAGTAAGTGGGACTACTGGTGTATGCCATCACATTTTTCTTATTGTAGAGATAGAATCTTGCTTTGTTGCCCAGGCTGATTTCAAACTCCTTGCCTCAGGGATCCTTCCAGCTTGACCTCCCAAAGCACTGAGACTGCAGAGCCAGCCACTGCACCCAGCCTCGAGTTTTCTTAGGGCAGATTTCAGATAGACTGTTCACTTCTGAAATGGAAGGTGACCTGACTTCATCTGGAAAGCTATTGCTGTCACCACTGGAGACCACACTGAAATACTGGGCAGCTCTTCTTGCTGATGGCCACAGTCACTCAAGAGCCTCAGCTCTGCTTCCACCACTCACTTTTACCAGACCCAGCTCCTGTGCGGTGGTGTAAATGCAGGGTGAGGTGCTCAGGGCAAGGCACCTTGCACAGACAAAACACTCCCCCTGCCTATTACCTCCTGCTTTCCTCCCCGTCTGAGCAGCAGAGTGGTCACACGTTCACATTTGTGGTCAGGAAAGGAGGCCAGCCAAGGCCTTCCCAGACAGAGGCAGCGGCAGCAAGTACTTGAGATCTGAAGACGATAGACTTCCAGAAAGCCAAGGACACCATCCATCATCCCCAGCAAGGACCCTGCCCTGCCCTGGTCTGGTCTTTTCACTTTGTCTCTGCTGAAGCCAGAGACTCCTCATGGAGCCCCATGAGGTCTGGCTGTGAGCCTCAAACACCGCTGATCCCAGGGCCCAGCATGGTGCTAAACACACTCAGCCTCTCCAGGCACCTTAGAATCTATTGATGCTGCCGACAGTGCGTCCACAGTAGCTTGTTTTCCTTTATTCTTAGGTGCTTTAAAATGCAGTTTGTATTTTCTTAATTACTTCTGTAGTTAGAGTAAGTGGGGGTTAAAAATACCTGATCCACATATAACAGAATAAAGGACTTCTTGTACATACCCTAGGGCTGGATGCTCCCAGGGTGTATATGACAGAGAAGCCCCATCCCACAGAGCTCCTCACCCCAGCAGGGATGACACTCTGAGCGGCTCTGGAAGGCAGGCCTAGAGGACCCACGTCAGACATGAGGTACACAGGGGTGTCCAACCTTTTGGCTTCCCTGTGCCACACTGAAAGGAGAAGAGCTATCTTGGGCCACACATTAAATACAAAAACACTGACAAAAACTGATGAGCCAGAAGAAAAAAAGTCCATGCTCAACTTCTGTGATACCTGCCACCACAGATGGTCAAAACCCAGGCCTCATATAATCCACAGTCGGCCACCTCTGTTAGGGTGAGCCAGATACACACCCTAAAAGCCACGGAGAAAGGCAGATCCAGGGACTGGCCACACAGCAAACAAGATCAAACTGAACAAGCCCCTATGAACCAGGCCCAACCTCCTCCTGGCTGAGGGGCTGCTGCTCAGTCTCTGGGTGAAAGAATGGCCTGAGTATACCATGAAGCCGGCCCTTCCCACAGACCCAACTCAGATGACTACAGGCCTGCGGAAAAGCAAGCAGGCCCTCCCCAAATCATCACCGCCACCCACGTCCTTCACCCCCAAAGGTCAGGCCTACACAGGAAGCAGAAATAGTTCCTCACAGAAGGCGATGGAGCAACCTGGCTTAGTTCTTGGCACCACCATGGTTCACCAAGTAGCAGAGTCTGACATTTCCAGAAGCTCACCTGTTGGCTGGATCACCAGGGTGGCGACTTCCACGGCCTTTTCTTGGATTTCCTGCCAGTTGCCCTGCTCTGCGATCCACTCACTGACGATGCATCTGTAGGAGCCCTGGTCGGCGGACAGGGCCCGGGACACGGAGAGGCGGTAGGCGTCGCTCCCCACCGTGTCGAGGCGCACGTCCCCGCTGTGGTAGCGCTGCTCGTACCCGGGGCCCGGGTGGAACCTGCCTTCGTGCGTCAGGGTGACGACACTGCGACGCGCAGGACCACGGTGCAGCTCCCACTGCAGAGCCAGGTGCGTGTGCGACGGCGACGCGGAGGCTGCGTGGCAGCGCAGCTCGAACGGCTCCCCCTCTCGCAGGCTCAGGCTCGGTGGGGGCTGCGCACTGGGGCCCACGTGCAGGGCGTCGGCCAGCACTGCGGGGACACAGGACAGCTCGTTAGTACGCCAGCCACAGCGGACCCCCTTGGCAGGGCCCGCCACGTTCCAGGGCCCTCCAAGGCAGTCGCGAGTGACCAGAGACAATTTCCTTCTCCCTTCTCTTGTTCTAAGGCCCACGTGGGCATGTTTTTCCATTTTCTTTTTATTTTTTTGTTCTTTTCTTTTTTTTCCAGGGGAGGCGGGGTAGTAGTGGTGGGGAGGCAGAGTCTCACTTTGTCACCCTGGGTAGAGTGCTATCTCCTCATAGCTCACAGCAACCTCAAACTCTCGGGCTCAACTGGGACTACAGGTGTCCGTCACAACCCCTGGCTATATTTAGCGAGGAGGTCTTGCTCTTGCTCAGGCTGGTCTTGAACTCCTGAGCTCAGGCAACCCACCCACCTCGGCCTCCCAGAGTGCTCGGATTACAGGTGTGAGCCACCCCCCTAGGCACATTTTCCCATTTTCATTCATCTGAAATCTCAATTGACCTTCTAACTTGAAAAGGAGGGGGAAGCCCTTTTAGAAGTGGGTGGTCAAAGCTGCCTTTGGGAGTTGCCTTGGGGATGTGGTTCTGCCACACTTAGGCACTGTATTTTAGCCCTCTGTGCCTCAGTTTTCTAAAAGGGGGATGCCAAATGGACTTTACTCTTAGAGTTGACATGTGAATTAAAGAGGGCAAGTTCCCAGGAATGCAGCTTGCACTCAGCAGTCACGATAAAATAATTGGGTATCATTGGTTAGGACCCAGGGCTAGAGTGGGAGCCTGCAGACCCTGAAGATAAGATGACCTACTACAAGTTAAAACTCTACGATCCACAAGGGGAGAAAGGATGGCAGGAGCTTCTCCAATTTTTGGAAGGTAAGAGATACAAGAGGATTTTTTTTTTTTTTGTAGTTTTTGCCTGGGGCTAGGTTTGAACCCACCACCTCCGGTATATGGGCTGGCGCCTTACTCCCTGAGCCACAGGTGCCGCCCAAAAGGATGTTTTTCTCAGGTCAGGAATGCCCAAGAATGAAAGAGTGAGCACAGTTTGGCCACACGATAGGAACAGACCAAAAAAAGCTAAGGCCTCAGTTATTCACTCTCCTGGGGCCTGTTGGTAGGCCAGCCACTTCTACAGAGCCTAGATCTAGAGTCAGAGATCAAGGAAGTATCAGTGAGTGCTGTTTAGGAAAAGAAATAAAAAGCAATGGATACTGGTACTCTGGTAACCAGAGGGGGCGCTACCAAGAGCAGGGAACATCTATCAGGCTTGTTTATAAGCTTGACAAGAGAATCCCAAAATACTACTCTTCAGAAACTAATCTGGTATATTTGGAAAGGGACTATTCCAGATAACATTAAAAAATGCTACATCTTTAGAAGAATGGATCCCAAAGACGCATCCCTACTGCCAACTGAATGTAAGGATCTTCCTGTACATATACCAGTCTGTGAATCTGGCTAATGCGACTCATTTCTTAAGGCCAGTTCCTGTCTCAGCACACAGATGAACAGCTTTAAGACCCACAAAGCAGTCGGGCATGGTGGCTCACACCTGTAATCCCAACACTTTGGGAGGCCGAGGTGCGTGGATCTCCTGAGCTCACAAGTTTAAGGCCAGCCTAAGCTAGAGCGAGACCCTGTCTCTAAAAATAGCTGGATGTTGTGGTGGGTGCCTGTAGTCCCAGCTACTTGAGAGGCTGAGGCATGAGAATTGCTTGAGCCCAAGAGTTTGAGGTTGCTGTGAGCTATAAGGCCATGGCACTCTACTGGGAATGACAAAGTAAAACAATGTCTCAAAAAAAAGGGGGGGGGCAGCTCCTGTGGCTCCAAGGAATAGGGTGCTGGCTCCATATACCGGAGGTGGTGGGTTCAAACCCGGCCCAACCAAAAACTGCAGGAAAAAAAAGAAAAAAAGAAAAAAAGAAAAATGACCCATGAAGCTGGAGGCCAGACCCTGAACCACCCAAGCACCTGCCAGAGGCTCCACCTGGGCAGTAGTCAGTCTCTTTCACGGTCATCCACCTGCCTTCCTGACCTGAGAAAAACATCCTCTTGCTTCTCTTACCTTCCAAAGATTGGAGAAGCAGCAGAAAGGTGCTGGGGGGCCTTCTCCTTCTGTCCTCCCTCCCACTCAACATGAGACTCCAAGGGGAGACAAGGGTAGCGAGAGGTATGGCATGTTGCATTATTTCGTTCCAAGGTGAGAATGATTTGTGGGACTTTTTCTAAAAATTAGAGGGTGGCCATGACGTCCAGGTGCGACTACACACAGACTAAACTGCACCTGGACTTTATGGCCACCCTGTATATTTAGGATTTTCTATACGAAAAAGGAATAGGTAATGGAAAGGCAGATCTGACATTTTAATGTTTTAATACTGCTTACTGGACTTAGCTCTTGTTTCTCCTCATCTAGCTATGGTAGTTCTACAGCTGACCAGTGATAAAGGCAGCAAGTGAACTAACTGGGCCCAGGCACCCTGGCTCCAGAGCAGGGCTCCCCACTATACCGTGCTGTCTGCAACTCACTGGCCATGGGATCCTTCAAAACCATAGTGGAGGGAAGAAAAAGGGCCGCAGACGTCACCTGGCCCATCCTCTGCCTTTAATCAGGTAAGACATCACCATTCCACTGGACAGAGGAGAAAGCAAAGCTCCAGAGGACTCAGCCTCTTGACACAGTCACCCTCCGCCAAGTGGTAGAGGAAGGTCTCCCCCTGGCACGACTATGCCGTGTGCAGATCGTACCTTTAACCTGCACTGTGTCCTCGTAGTTGCCCTGGACGGTGGCATCCGTGCTAGGGGTTGAGCATTTGTAGTAGCCTTGGTCTGAGGGCTGGACGTTCTTTATGAGGAGCTCCACGGCGTCATTGGCAGTTCGCCTTAGCAGGATGTCGCCCCTGTGCAGCCGCTCCCGGTACAGCTGTGCTGGGAACCCCACCTCCCAGGTGCTTGCGAGCTCCACAAAGCTGCTCCCCAAAGATGAGAAGCTCCAATCAAAGTTTTGCTCACTGGGGCCATCATAGTCGCTGACGTTGCAGGGTATGGCCAGCTCGGTGCCCACCACCCGGACCAGGGTCCCCGTTGGAACTCTCACCACGCGTCCTCGACACAGAGCTGCAATGACAAGAAGGGAAGGACAGGTCCTGGATCACTCACTGTCTTCCCAGTGTTAACGTGGCAAACCCGTGGATGCTCCTGCTCACAGGCACAGGGCAGAGATGTGACACGCAAACTGCTGGGAAAAATGTGTCTGTGCAGAAGGAGGTGAAGCCCATCCCTTAACTCACCAGCTGGAAACACAACCCTAATAAGTACCTCTCACACAACCAGTTTCCCAGGACCAACAGGGAGGAAGATGACTGTAGGCTAACCACCAACCCGAACAGCCTCTTCCTTCCCTCACTATGCAACATACCATCACTACTCAAAGTACTGTGGGAATATTTTAGGTTTGGGTGAGAGAAAAGGGCACAGCTAATCAAGTATTTACCTTTCTGCCCACCCTATAACAACCCTCATCTCTAGAGACCATTCCCTGGGGCTCCTGAGACCTGATTTACAATGACAGATGCCAATTTTTAAATCCTAGAGCAGCCTGCTGATAAAATAATTTAACTCCTGTTATCTGACATTGCCTATAAATTATTTTTAAAATATGATGATTCTACCAAGTATTAATTTTCTATTTTCTGGCTCATTTCCTTCTTTCTACTCCTTACCCTGATCTAAATTCAGAATGAGGGTGGGAAGCACAAGGGAGGGTATCTGCTGGTTGTTGGGCATTATTAGGAACACGGTGGCTTGCTGCAGGGGATGAATCCAGTAGACACGCTGAGTTCCCTGGCGTTCCCTTCCCCGAGCGACATAACTCACAGGCCTCTCGGGTAGGGCTCTCAGGCGTTGACACTGATGCATCCTCTCAGATCCTTCTCTGCAATGAAGTTCAGCACGATTTCGTAGCATATTTACTACCTGTGTTTAGGATTTCAATTTGGGCCCAATAAATGTGCACGTCTCCTTGTAGATGCTCTATGAACTGTGCAGCAGTCAGGCACACAGAGGCATGGGCTCTGAGACCTCACTGGGCTTTGGCTTCTTCAACTATAAAAGGGGGCAAAAAGGCTTCAGAGACTTACTGAAATAAAATGCCCAGTGACAGTCTGCCAGATAACAAGGGCTCCATAAAATGGAGACTTCTATTATTTATCTTCAATTTTGTGTTTTTATCACATGTTATGGGTTGGACTGTGTCTGGGACCCAAATTCATATGTTGAAGTCCTGGTCCCCAGTACCTCAGAATGTGACCTGACTCGGGACTAGGGTTGTCATAGTTAGCTGTGATGAGGTGACACTGGAACAGGAGCCCCTCGTGTCATATGACTAGGACCCTCAGAAAGGGGGCAGTGTGGACGTAGACATACACACAGAGAGTGCCACATGAAGATGAAGACGGAAACGGAGGTGATCTGCCTACAAGTCAGGGAGTGCCAAAAACTGCCGCAAGTGACCAGGAACAAGGGAGGCAGCAAGGACCACGTTCTTTCTCGACTCTGCTGACACCTTCATATTGGACTTGCCGCCTCCCGAATCCCAAGAGAAGAAATTTCTGCCGTTTCAGCTGCCCACTGTGTGGTGCTCTGCTGCGGCAGTGCCAGCGAACAAACACACCACCGCTGCCTGGGTTTCAACGGTTTCACTCATGTTTTTCAAACCCCAGGTCACCAACCTGTCACAGTTTGGGAAATGCATTTATAATATCTATGACTGGCACGTGTCCTTTTTAAAATGAAATTAAACAGAATAGAAAACATTAAGAGAGCACTGCATTTGGTGAGGGTTACCCCTAGTTACACTGTCTCATTACAGTTTGTTAGGTAAACAACAGTGTGTGTGCACCAGACTATATACCGTAATTTGGGTCAGGAATAAAACAGAAAAGTTAAGAGACACTGTTACAATGCTATCTCTTATCTTCTCTACCCGTTATCACTTACTTTGCACGGGAAGAAGGATATCTCCACGTAAGAGAAGCAGCGATGGGGAACAGTGTGGCCCCCTAAGCAGAGCTGCCTCCCCTCTCCTCCCAGCCCATCTGGGGATGGGTCCAGACAAAATTCCAGTTTAAAAAGAAGCTGCTGACCCTTAAACTACATCACTCTCCCTAAAAATAAAACAAAGTTATTGGTACTGGTAACAGAAAAACCATGGGTCCCATATCTGCCCATAGAGAATGGTAGCACCAACCCCACACATTGAGGAATAGTGCCAGAAGGTGCTACTTTCCTTCTAAGGCAACTCGTGCCCACAGGGTGACACCGTGACCTCAAACCTACTACTTCTGGCTACCAGGCAGGAGATCCATGGTGGCTGGCCAGCTTTCCTTAACTGCCCCCCCCATGGGGCTGATGTGCAAGTTCACTTCTGGAGATAGGTGTTGGGAGTAAAACCATATAAACCCAAATTCTCCTGGCTCTTTTATAGAAAGACACTTTGCTTCCAGTGGAATCAAGGTATCAACAAAGATAAGGGACTATGATGCTTAGCGTGGGCAGTCCTCTTATGAGGACCTTATGAGGAAGCCATTCCACAGAAGACCCAGACCAACGCCAGGACCAGAGGTGACAGAGAGTGAGCCCCAGGGATTCCATGCAGCCATGCTTCCCAAGCCACCCCCACATGCATACGCTCCACACACACACATCCCTCTCTCCCCGGACGTTTCAATTTCTTAAAATTCCACTCACCCCCACTTATGTTTCTTAAGTTAATTTCTGTCACTGGAAACTAAAAGAGCATTTAAATAATGTACAACGACCCAGCAGGGACCCACTCTCTGAAACCATCACCACCACAAGTTAACAAAGAGATTAGGTGATCACTTTTTTACATTTAATTTTCGAGATAATGAGATAATGAGATAATTCCAAATCACTGAAAACTTTCAGAACTTCCTCCATTGTGTGGAGAGCCCCCCAGAGGCAACACAGGTTAGTGCCTTACCTCCTGGCCCCCAAGTCGTTTCAATATGAAATGGAGGCCCTGGTCACCACGCCCCAGGGCTGTGGTAAGGATTAAAGGAGCTAATACACTTAGAGCATTCTCCACAGGGCTGGCTGGTGGTAAGGGTCTGTGGTTATCTGCGGGGCAGGCTGCCTCTAGAATAAACTTGATCATAATCATCCACCTTGCTCCCTTGGCAAGGCTTACAAAGGAATTACTTAACGTGTAAAGCTTTTCACTTCCTTTCCCTGGCCAAGAAGGTAGCCAGTGTTGACAACATGCCCGCAGGGTATGTGGCTGCATCTGTTGTAAGGCTTCCATCCTCTTCCTTAGCAATGGGAGCTTTGAAACTGATGCAGTTCTTTGTCTCAACTCTACAATCTTTCTTCCACACAGCTATTAAAATCATCTTTTTAACACAAAAGCCCAATGTCACTTCACTGATCAAAAGTGTTTAATGGCTCCTTATTCGCCTTTAGAACAAAATCTACCCTCCAGCTAGCCCCACCCATCACCCTGGTTCAAGCCACTATCCCTCCCACCTGCATTATTGCAAAGGCCCTAAATGGTCTCCTGGCTTCCATTCTCACCCTCTATTCTCAAAAAAGCAAACAATCCCCATTTTTTTTTTTTTTTTTTGGAGACAGGGTCTCACTTTGTTGCCCATGGTAGAGTACTGGGACATCATAGCTCACAGCAACATCAAACTCTTGGGCTCAAGAGGTTCTCTTGCCTCAGTCTCCCAAGTAGCTGGGACTATAGGCACCTGCCATAACGCCTGGCTATTTTTATAGAGATGGGGTCTCTCTCTTGCTCAGGCTGATCTCCACCCTTGAACTCAGGCAATCCAAACACCTCAGCCTCCCAGAGTGCTAGGATTATAGGCATGAGCCACTGTGCTGGGCCTCAAAAGAATCTCTTAAAAAATTAAGTTGCATTATATCTTACTCTGCTTAAAACTCTCTAATCACTTCCCATCTCGTGTAGATAAAAGCCCAAATCCTTACAGAGGCCATCAAGACCTCACAGGATCCAGCCCTCTTTGTTTCTTAGAACTCACATCTGCTGTTCTCCCTCCAGTATACTCCAGCCATGCTTCCCTTCCAAGGTTCCACCCACTGCAACCTCAGGGCCTTTGCATATCCCCTCAGCCTATAACACTCTCAGATATTCACCCCACTGGCTCTTTCACCAGATCTTTATAACAATGTGACCTTCTTAATGAGGCCTTTCCCAACCGCCCTAAAGTGGCACCCCCTCCATTCTTGCTCTTGCCAAATTTTCATCAGTTATCACTAATGTATATATGTCATGTGCACTTGTATATTTTTACTATGACTTATTGTCTATCTCTTCCCACTAGAAAGTAAGCTTCTGGTTCGTTCACTGCTGAATGCCAGTGCCTAGAACAGAGCCTGGGACAAAGCAGCCCTTCAATAAATATTGGTTAAATGGAAGAATAAATAAAAGACATATACAACCATTCATGATCTTGCTCATCGCTACCTCCAGCTTCATCTCCTACCATTCTCCCATCTTCTAACGCTTATATCAAATAAAACAAACTACCATTCACTTTCTGGAAATGTCATGCTCTCTTGTGCTCCATAGCCTCTGCTTCTGTGCCTCCCTCCCCAGGAATACCATGCCAGAATCTCTGCATCCTCTTACAAGAGGCAGCTGAGCACCACCTCCACTGTGAGGCCTTCCCCATCTCCCAAGAGATCACTTAGGTGCTCCTTCCTCCGTGTTCCACTCAACCTGCAAAAGTACCTTCAATATCGGCTCTGTTATAGTGCCGCTGGGAGAGGTAAAGCAGATATGAACAGATGCTGGAAAGATCAAATTCTAATCTGAAAAGATACAAACCCGAGCTGCGTCTTGCAAGCAGAATGGAGATGTCCCCTCATCCATGCAAATCAAGATTTTAAATTTTGGTAACAAAATTTCAACTTGCCACTGGCAATCTGGTATTTAGCACAGATTTCTTTTTAATATTGTTAAATAACAGCTAATGATATTTAAAAATAAATAAAACTTGCAGAAAATAAAGCATATGGCTCTTTTCAAATTAAAAAGAATATCTACAGAGCCATATGTTGCCACTTTTTGT